AAACTGCTGATCTCACTCTGCGTGCCACCAGAGAGTCTGCTAAATCTATTGGTCGATCTATGGCAGCCATGGTGGCCACAGAAAGGCACTTATGGTTGAGTCAGACATCGATGAAGGAAAAAGATAAGTCTCTCCTTTTAAATGCTCCTGTTTCGCCTGTGGGCCTCTTCGGTGACGCTCTTCACTCGGTCACGGAGAGGTTCCAGGAAGAGAAAAAACAGGCGGCTGCTTTTTCTAAATTCATCCCTCTCAAAATACGTGTCACTGGGGCTGCTGAGCGAAAAGGGCAGTCCCAGCCGTCGAGTTCTTCCTCTTCAAAAAGAGCACAGCAGAAGCGGAGTGTCGCGTCTCGTGCCCCCCCGCAGGGAAACTGGAGAGACGAGGCGGGGCGCTCTCCGGCGCGGCCGTCTCGGGGCAGGACTGATCTGAGGACAGTCATTGTCGCCAGGAAGGCCGCGTCGAAAAAGTCCTGACGGGCTGAACGTCAGGACTCTGAGGGTGGTCCCCATCGGGAGAGACTTGAGTTCACCGCACAAGAACACGGTGCCCTGTCTTTCCCGATGCCCTCAGGGGTCTGTTCTACTAACCCTGCCTACACAGGGCGTAGAGAGACTCGGCGAGCGATTTCCCGAGGGACGCTCGCCCCCTCCGAGGAGGGTTGTGGAGTGTTCAGACCAGCTGTTTCCTGCCAGTATGTTACAGGGCGCTGTGTCTGTCACTCGGCATGTTCATCCAGAGGCCAGCCTCGAGAGGCTGGTTCCCTTAGTAGAGTTCCTGGCGGAATGGGAAATGCTTCCCAATGTTTCTCAGTGGGTCCTGAATATTATAAAGAACGGGTACGCTATTCAGTTCAGAACGCGTCCACCTCAGTTCAGAGGGGTTCTGCCCACGGTGGTGGGCCCCGAGCAGGCTCTGGTATTAGAACAGGAGGTAAAAACTCTGCTGCAAAAAGGGGCTATAGAACGGGTTCCTCCACCCAGCAGGGAGTTAGGATACTACAGCCGGTACTTCATCGTTCCGAAAAAAGATGGAGGGCTGCGTCCCATTCTAGATCTGCGTGTCTTAAATCGCACTGTAGGAAAGCTCAAATTCAAGATGCTCACTCTCAAACAGATCGTGTCACAAATCAGATCCGAGGACTGGTTTGTCACGATAGATCTAAAGGACGCTTACTTCCATGTATCTATCCTCCCTCAACACAGGAAGTTCCTGAGGTTCGCTTTCGGGGGCGAAGCGTACCAATATCGGGTTCTTCCGTTCGGCCTAGCACTGTCACCCCGCACGTTCACGAAGTGTATGGATGCAGCTATAGCTCCGCTCAGGCTGCAGGGCATCCGTATTCTGAACTATATAGACGATTGGTTAATCCTAGCTCAATCGGAACAACAGGCGGTTCGGCATCGAGATGTCGTTCTGGCTCACATCAAGAGGTTGGGGTTGAGACTCAACGCCAAGAAGAGTGTTCTTTCTCCATTACAGAGAACCACTTTTCTCGGTGTAGTGTGGGATTCGACGACGATGCAGGCACAATTGTCACCTGCTCGTGTTGCTTCGATTCTTGCCACAGTAGATCAAGTCAAGCTAGGCCGGTCATCCACTGTAAAACAGTTCCAGAGACTGTTAGGTCTCATGGCAGCTGCGTCCAACGTGATACCTTTTGGCCTCCTGCACATGAGACCGTTACAGTGGTGGCTCAGAACCAAGGGATTCTCCCCGAGGGGAAATCCGCTTCGCATGATCATGAGTTCGCGACGGTGTCATCGCGCCCTGGTTATGTGGAAAGATCCTTGGTTTCTGTCCCAAGGCCCTGTGTTGGGAGCTCCTTGTCGTCGCGTTATGCTAACGACAGATGCCTCTCTCACGGGTTGGGGGGCGATCATGAGTGGTCGCCCGGCTCAGGGTCTGTGGGGGGACCATCACCGTCTATGGCACATAAATTGTCTAGAGATGTTGGCAGTGTTTCAGGCCCTGAAACATTTCCTCCCAGACCTAAGAGGCCACCATGTTCTTGTCCGGACAGACAACACATCGGTGGTCTCTTACATCAACCATCAGGGGGGTCTGCGTTCTCGCCCGCTTTACAAACTGGCACGTCAGATCCTTCTATGGTCCCAGGGGAAAATTCTCTCTCTCAGAGCTATTTATCTCCCGGGGTATTTGAATCAGGGGGCAGACATCCTGTCGAGGCAGGGGCCGAGGCCCGGGGAGTGGAGTCTTCACCCCGAGGTGGTGGAGCTCCTATGGGGACATTTCGGTCGTGCCGAGGTAGACCTATTTGCGTCCCGAGAGACATCACACTGTCCACTGTGGTTCTCTCTCAGCCAGCCAGCCCCACTGGGGTTGGATGCTATGGTACATCCGTGGCCGAGGTCACGCCTGTACGCTTTTCCCCCGATCGCTCTGCTCCCAGGAGTTCTGGAGAGGGTTCGCCGGGACGGGCTCAGTCTCCTGCTTATAGCCCCGTTCTGGCCGGCCCGAGTATGGTTTTCGGACCTAGTGTCTCTCCTCGACGGTTCTCCCCTAGAGATACCGATCAGGAGAGATCTGCTCTCTCAGGCGAGTGGGTCGATCCTTCACCCCCGTCCAGAGCTATGGAGGCTGTGGGCTTGGCCTCTGAGGGGGCCCAGCTCATAGATTCTGGTCTCTCGGCTGAGGTCGTTGAGACCATCCTCCAATCCAGAGCTCCCTCCACGAGGAAGTTATATGCCGCGAGGTGGAAACTTTTCACCTCTTGGTGTGGAGAGCGCCAGCAGGACCCAGTTAACTGCCCGGTTGGTACAGTGCTGGATTTCCTGCAGGACCGTCTCTCCACAGGGTTATCCCACTCCACACTGAAGGTGTATGTGGCGGCCTTAGCTGCTTACCACGCCCCTTCAAGTGGAGGTTCCCTCGGGAAACACCCACTTATATCTCGCTTCCTTCGTGGCACCCTGAGGCTGAGGCCTGCAGTTCGCACAAGGGTACCAGCTTGGGATCTGGCCAATCGTCTTAGAAGGTCTCTCCCTTGCTCCTTTTGAGCCCATCGAGGAAGTTTCGGAAAAGTTTCTTACTCTTAAGACTATCCTTCTTCTTGCTATTTCATCTCTAAAAAGGATTGGTGATATTCAAGCACTTTCGGTGGCTCCCTCGTGCCTGGAATTTGCTCCTGGTATGGTTAAGGCCTTTCTCTGTCCGAGACCAGGTTATGTTCCTAAGGTGCCGACCACTTTGGTTAGACCTATAGTTCTGCAGGCTTTCTGTCCTCCGCCTTTTCTGACGTCAGACCAGAGGAAACTTAATTTGCTGTGCCCTGTTAGGGCTTTAGATGCGTATGTCCACAGAGCTGCTCTGTGGAGGAGATCGGAACAACTGTTTGTCTGTTTTGGGTCACCTAAGAGAGGGTGTCCTGCATCTAAGCAAAGGATGAGCAAGTGGGTGGTCGAGGCCATCTCGCTTGCTTACGGTTCGGCCCATCAGCCTTCACCTTTGGCTGTAAGGGCTCATTCCACCAGGAGTATGGCTGCCTCTACAGCTCTTCTTTCAGGAGCTTCTCTTCAGGACGTTTGTGATGCGGCAGGCTGGTCCTCACCGCACACTTTCGTCAGATTTTATTCCCTTGACCTTAGCTCCACTCCCGGGGCTCAGGTTCTCTCGTCGGCTTGTGTCTCCTAATGACACACGACGGGGATTTGGTTGTATGGGGATGTGGGTATTGCGTTCCCACTGCGATTACACGCAGCGGTAGTCCCTGAAGGGGAACGTCCCGGGTTACGTATGTAACCCTAGTTCCCCGAAGGGACGGACGCTGCGTGTCCTGCCATACTCTCGGCATCCCCTTGGGTCGCTGCTTCAGTGACTTTTAAGCTGGCGTGTTGTGTGCTCAGGGGATATTTATAGCTTCCTGGTCTATGACGTCACTCGCCGTACGCTCATTCTCTCCATTGACTGATTTCATTCATGCTTCAGACGCGTCACGCTGGGGCGTTCCCACTGCGATTACACGCAGCGTCCGTCCCTTCGGGGAACTAGGGTTACATACGTAACCCGGGACGTTCTTTGACATTTCTGCATACAAATATTTTTACATGTAGTGAATGATATTGAGAAAGACAGAAACTTCAAAAACCCTCTGCTACATTATACAAGTAGAACCAGTTACACAAGCACATCCTTTTCAACATACAAAAATATCAGTCCCACCAGTGAACAAGTTATAGAGTCCTGCTTCCCACAGCTAAACAAGATAAAGCTTCCACACATGATACTGCCCTGCTAAAAAAAAAACTATAGAAACCATTACAGAAATTCTATTGGATTTAATGGTTTTCATGGGAATTTTATTTGTTGTAATGGGAATTATAGTGGTCTCTGTGGGTCTCTACTGATATGTGTTGGGTTCTATTGGTGGGGGCATTAAATCCTAATGGAATATGTCCCAAACACGCAACAAAAAATAATTCTGTAGTGGTTTAAATGGTAAAAGCCAATGATTCCTATTGGTATTTTAATAGAAACCATTAGAATTTCTGTGATGGTTTCCAACTTTTTTTAAGCTGGTCTGATCTTCTGTCCTTGTCTAAAGAAATAATTACACACACATCATGCTTAATGTTTTATTATCAAGGTGAACACAAATTCATCAGTATCTGTAAAATTATGACATGGGAAGAATTAATTACGAGAATTAATTACGAGACATGGGAAGCTTCAAACAGCGATCTGACAAACAAGAGACGAAAGACAGGGCAGTAAATAGGCTGGTAGATGATCTACAGCTGCCACTGATGATTACAATCAGCGGTAACACCCACATGAAACAATCAGTGTAACACCCACACACAGACCCAAACACACACACAAACACACACGACCAGAATGAGACAGCGGATCTACCAACCGGACACACATGTGATGAGTGATAACCAAAACAAACTGAACATGCCTGTGACAGTCATGACTTAATTGTAGTTATCTTAGTTTTTAGTAATTTATCTTTCTGCTTATCGCTTTTGTCTTCCCAGAGACTAGCCGGAAGGGGAATAGATGTACACCTTTCTGGAGAAGGAAAATTTAAACTGAAAGTAAGCGATTTAAATAATATTTCCATCCATAAATGGGGCGAGTTTTAAGGGGGAAAAACTCAGCAAGGATGCATTAAATTGATCAAAAGTGACAGTAAAGGCATTTACACTCACCTAAAGGATTATTAGGAACACCTGTTCAATTTCTCATTAATGCAATTATCTAATCAACCAATCACATGGCAGTTGCTTCAATGCATTTAGGGGTGTGGTTCTGGTCAAGACAATCTCCTGAACTCCAAACTGAATGTCAGAATGGGAAAGAAAAGTGATTTAAGCAATTTTGAGTGTGGCATGGTTGTTGGTGCCAGACGGGGCGGTCTGAGTATTTCACAATCTGCTCAGTTACTGGGATTTTCACGCACAACCATGTCTAGGGTTTACAAAGAATGGTGTGAAAAGGGAAAAACATCCAGTATGTAGCAGTCCTGTGGGCGAAAATGCCTTGTTGATGCTAGAGGTCAGAGGAGAATGGGCCGACTGATTCAAGCTGATAGAAGAGCAACTTTGACTGAAATAACTACTCGTTACAACCGAGGTATGCAGCAAAGCATTTGTGAAGCCACAACACGCACAACCTTGAGGCGGATGGGCTACAACAGTAGAAGACCCCACCGGTAACCACTCATCTCCACTACAAATAGGAAAAAGAGGCTACAATTTGAAGACTGGAAAAATGTTGCCTGGTCTGATGAGTCTCGATTTCTGTTGAGACATTCAGATGGTAGAGTCAGAATTTGGCGTAAACAGAATGAGAACATGGATCCATCATGCCTTGTTACCACTGTGCAGGCTGGTGGTGGTGGTGTAATGGTGTGGGGGATGTTTTCTTGGCACACTTTAGGCCCCTTTGTGCCAATTGGGCATCGTTTAAATGCCACGGCCTACCTGAGCATTGTTTCTCACCATGTCCATCCCTTTATGGCCACCATGTACCCATCCTCTGATCCTCTACTTCCAGCTGGATAATGCACCATGTCACAAAGCTCGAATCATTTCAAATTGGTTTCCTGAACATGACAATGAGTTCACTGTACTAAAATGGCCCCTACAGTCACCAGATCTCAACCCAATAGAGCATCTTTGGGATGTGGTGGAACGGGAGCTTCGTGCCCTGGATGTGCATCCCACAAATCTCCATCAACTGCAAGATGCTATCCTATCAATATGCGCCAACATTTCTAAAGAATGCTTTCAGCACCTTGTTGAATCAATGCCACGTAGAATTAAGGCAGTTCTGAAGGTGAAAGAGGGTCAAACACAGTATTAGTATGGTGTTCCTAATAATCCTTTAGGTGAGTGTATAATGTTACAATATATGTATATATATATATATATATATATATATATATATATATATATATATATATATATATTAAACGTTCTATTCATCACAGAATCAAAAAATTATCACGATTACCACAAAAATATTATTGAGCAGCACGACTTTTTACAATTTTGATAATAATAAGGGTCACACTTTACATTAGGGTCCAATTCTCACTAACTAACTATTAACTCTGACTTTTGCCTCAATAAACTACTAATTGTTGCTTATTAATAGTTAGCAAGGTAGTTGTTAAGTTTAGATATAGGGATGTAGAATATGGTCATACTTTATAAGGACTAATAAACAGCCAATATCCTATTAATATGCATGCTAATGTGCAAAAGGTTAACAGTCAGAATTGGACCCTAAACTAAAGTGTTACCATAATAAGAAATGTTTCTTGAGCACCAAATCAGCATTTTAGAATGATTTCTGGAAGATCATGTGACACTGAAGACTGGAGTAATGGCTGTTAAAATTTAGCTTTGTCATCACAGGAATAAATTACATGGTAAAATATATTCAAATAGAAAAATATATATAATTAAATTTTGATATTACAATATTACTGTTTTACTGAATTTTGATCAAATAAATGCATCCTTGGTGAGCATAAGAGACTTCTTTCAAAAACATAAAAAAGTCGTACTGACCCCAAATATAAAAATGGATACCACAGCTGTGTTATCTTTCGTGGGGATTTGTGTTACTGTAGGTGGCAAAGACTTATTATGCTCTTAAGGAAGACTCCAACTGTGCTGATTTGTCAATACATGTGACTGTAGAGGGAAAAGTGGAATACACAAGTAAGTTATGAATTATCCAAGGCAAAATTGAGACTTAATTTAACTACATTTAACTTTTTACATTTTTCACTTATTATGTGACTGTGCAATAATTGTGAAATTATTCTTAAAAAAATCTATTTTTAGCTAAAGAACGAGAAACTAATTATTCCAAAGAGCTCTCTAAAAAGTCAGAAGAGCGGAAGGGAAAAGATCACTCTAAAAAGTCAGAAGAGCGGAAGGGAAAAGATCACTCTGAAAAGTCAGAAGAGCGGAAGGGAAAAGATCACTCTAAAAAGTCAAAAGAGCGGAAGGGAGAAGATCACTCTAAAAATTCAGAAGAGAGAAAGGGAGAAGATCACTCTAAAAAGTCAGAAGAGCGGAAGGGAAAAGATCACTCTAAAAATTCAGAAGAGCGGAAGGGAGAAGATCACTCTAAAAAGTCAGAAGAGAGAAAGGGAGAAGATCACTCTAAAATTTCAGAAGAGCGAAAGGGAGAAGATCACTCTAAAAAGTCAGAAGAGCAGAAGGGAAAAGAGCACTCTAAAAATTCAGAAGAGCGAAAGGGAGAAGATCTCTCTAAAACGTCAGAAAAGCAGAAGGGAGAAGATCACTCTAGAAATTCAGAAGAGAGAAAGGGAGAAGATCTCTCTAAAAAGTCAGAAGAGCAGAAGGGAAAAGAGCACTCTAAAAATTCAGAAGACCGAAAGGCAGAAGATCACTCTAAAAATTCAGAAGAGCGGAAGGGAGAAGATCACTCTAAAAATTCAGAAGAGCGAAAGGGAGAAGATCACTCTAAAACTTCAGAAGAGCGAAAGGGAGAAGATCACTCTAAAATGTCAGAAGAGCAGAAGGGAAAAGAGCACTCTAAAAATTCAGAAGAGCGAAAGGGAGAAGATCACTCTAAAAAGTCAGAAGAGCAGAAGGGAAAAGAGCACTCTAAAAATTCAGAAGAGAGGAAGGGAAAAGATCACTCTAAAAATTCAGAAGAGCAGAAGGGAAAAGAGCACTCTAAAAATTCAGAAGAGCGAACGGGAGAAGATCACTCTAAAAATTCAGAAGAGCGAAAGGGAGAAGACCACTCTAAAAATTCAGAAGAGCAGAAGGGAAAAGATCACTCTAAAAATTCAGAAGAGCAGAAGGGAAAAGAGCACTCTAAAAATCCAGATGAGCGAACGGGAGAAGATCACTCTAAAAATTCAGAAGAGCGAAAGGGAGAAGATCACTCTAAAAATTCAGAAGAGCAGAAGGGAAAAGAGCACTCTAAAAATTCAGAAGACCGAAAGGGAGAAGATCACTCTAAAAATTCAGAAGAGCGAAAGGGAGAAGATCACTCTAAAAAGTCAGAAGAGCAGAAGGGAAAAGAGCACTCTAAAAATCCAGATGAGCGAACGGGAGAATATCACTCTAAAAATTCAGAAGAGCGAAAGGGAGAAGATCACTTTAAAAATTCAGAAGAGCAGAAGGGAAAAGAGCACTCTAAAAATTCAGAAGAGCAGAAGGGAGAAGATCACTCTAAAAATTCAGAAGAGCGAAAGGGAGAAGATCTCTCTAAAAAGTCAGAAAACCGAAAGGGAGAAGATCACTCTAAAAATTTAGAAGAGCGAAAGGGAGAAGATCACTCTAAAAATTCAGAAGAGCGAAAGGGAGAAGATCACTCTAAAAATTTAGAAGAGCGAAAGGGAGAAGATCACTCTAAAAATTCAGAAGAGCAGAAGGGAAAAGAGCACTCTAAAAATTCAGAAGAGCGAAAGGGAGAAGATCTCTCTAAAAAGTCAGAAAACCGAAAGGGAGAAGATCACTCTAAAAATTTAGAAGAGCGAAAGGGAGAAGATCACTCCAAGAATTCAGAAGAGCGAAAGGGAGAAGATCACTCTAAAAATTCAGAAGAGCAGAAGGGAAAAGAGCACTCTAAAAATTCAGAAGAGCGAAAGGGAGAAGATCTCTCTAAAAAGTCAGAAGACCGAAAGGGAGAAGATCACTCTAAAAATTTAGAAGAGCGAAAGGGAGAATATCACTCTAAAAATTCAGAAGAGCGAAAGGGAGAAGATCACTCTAAAAATTTAGAAGAGCGAAAGGGAGAAGATCACTCTAAAAATTCAGAAGAGCGAAAGGGAGAAGATCACTCTAAAAATTCAGAAGAGCGAAAGGGAGAAGATCACTCTAAAAATTCAGAAGAGCGAAAGGGAGAAGATCTCTCTAAAAAGTCAGAAAACCGAAAGGGAGAAGATCTCTCTAAAAATTCAGAAGAGCGAAAGGGAGAAGATCACTCTAAAAATTCAGAAGAGCGAAAGGGAAAAGAGCACTCTAAAAAAATTTCAGAAGAGCAGAAGGGAAAAGAGCACTCTAAAAATCCAGATGAGCGAACGGGAGAAGATCACTCTAAAAATTCAGAAGAGCGAAAGGGAGAAGATCACTCTCAAAATTCAGAAGAGCGAAAGGGAGAAGATCACTCTAAAAATTCAGAAGAGCGAAAGGGAGAAGATCACTCTAAAAATTCAGAAGAGCGAAAGGGAGAAGATCTCTCTAAAAAGTCAGAAAACCGAAAGGGAGAAGATCTCTCTAAAAATTCAGAAGAGCGAAAGGGAGAAGATCACTCTAAAAATTCAGAAGAGCAGAAGGGAAAAGAGCACTCTAAAAAAATTTCAGAAGAGCAGAAGGGAAAAGAGCACTCTAAAAATCCAGATGAGCGAACGGGAGAAGATCACTCTAAAAATTCAGAAGAGCGAAAGGGAGAAGATCACTCTCAAAATTCAGAAGAGCGAAAGGGAGAAGATCACTCTAAAAATTCAGAAGAGCGAAAGGGAAAAGATCACTCTAAAAATTCAGAAGAGCGAAAGGGAGAAGATCTCTCTAAAAAGTCAGAAAACCGAAAGGGAGAAGATCAATCTAAAAATTTAGAAGAGCGAAAGGGAGAAGATCACTCTAAAAATTCAGAAGAGCGAAAGGGAGAAGATCTCTCTAAAAATTCAGAAGAGCGAAATGGAGAAGATATCTCTAAAAAGTCAGAAGACCGAAAGGGAGAAGATCACTCTAAAAATTCAGAAGAGCGAAAGGGAGAAGATCATTTTAAAAATTCAGAAGAGCGAAAGGGAGAAGATCACTCTAAAAATTCAGAAGAGCGAAAGGGAGAAGATCTCTCTAAAAAGTCAGAAGACCGAAAGGGAGAAGATCTCTCTAAAAATTCAGAAGACCGAAAGGGAGAAGATCCCTCTAAAAAGTCAGAAGACCGAAAGGGAGAAGATCTCTCTAAAAATTCAGAAGACCGAAAGGGAGAAGATCTCTCTAAAAAGTCAGAAGACCGAAAGGGAGAAGATTACTCTAAAAATTCAGAAGAGCGAAAGGGAGAAGATCTAACTAAAAATTCAGAAGAGCGAAAGGGAGAAGATCACTCTAAAAATTCAGAAGAGCGAAAGGGAGAAGATCACTCTAAAAATTTAGAAGAGCGAAAGGGAGAAGATCTCTCTAAAAATTCAGAAGACCGAAAGGGAGAAGATCTCTCTAAAAATTCAGAAGACCGAAAGGGAGAAGATCCCTCTAAAAAGTCAGAAGACCAAAAGGGAGAAGATCTCTCTAAAAATTCAGAAGACCGAAAGGGAGAAGATCTCTCTAAAAATTCAGAAGACCGAAAGGGAGAAGATCTCTCTAAAAAGTCAGAAGACCGAAAGGGAGAAGATCTCTCTAAAAAGTCAGAAGACCGAAAGGGAGAAGATTACTCTAAAAATTCAGAAGACCGAAAGGGAGAAGATCTCACTAAAAATTCAGAAGAGCGAAAGGGAGAAGATCTCTCTAAAAATTCAGAAGACCGAAAGGGAGAAGATCCCTCTAAAAAGTCAGAAGACCGAAAGGGAGAAGATCTCTCTAAAAATTCAGAAGACCGAAAGGGAGAAGATCTCTCTAAAAAGTCAGAAGAGCGAAAGGGAGAAGATCTCACTAAAAATTCAGAAGAGCGAAAGGGAGAAGATCTCTATAAAAATTCAGAAGAGCGAAAGGGAGAAGATCTCACTAAAAATTCAGAAGACCGAAAGGGAGAAGATCTCACAAAAAATTCAGAAGAGCGAAAGGGAGAAGATCTCACTAAAAATTCAGAAGACCGAAAGGGAGAAGATCTCACTGAAAATTCAGAAGAGCGAAAGGGAGAAGATCTCTATAAAAATTCAGAAGACCGAAAGGGAGAAGATCTCTCTAAAAATCACCCCAAGTCGGTCACTGAGATGACTGAGACAAAGAAGAGACAAAGAAGAGACTCCATGCAAAACAAGCTAAATGATTTGGTCTATACCGTGTGTGTCAGGTGAGAAAAAGATACTTCTGACAAACATCAGTTGTCTTTTCACAATCTGCTGTTTTAAAGGTTTATTAGAATCATCTGTCCCCTCACAGGCACACAAAGGGGAGGAAACTCTCTGGAATGGCCATTGCTGACATTACTCTACTTAGTGGCTTTGATGCAATCAGTACAGATCTGGAAAAGGTCAATCTTATTCAATGACTTTTGACCTTGTCATGGCATTTTAAAAGTATTTTTAATTAATTGTTTAAATAAGTAATTCAAATAATGATTATATTTTCATTAACCTATTTGCATGTTTTTAGTTAAAATATTTTATAAAAAAATTAAAAACTTTTAAAGGTTTAAATGTATTACAAATGTATATATATATATATATATATATATATATATATATATATATATATATAATTATTTGTTTATATAGAATTTTATATATTATTATATAAAGTGTGTAGTCTAGACTTCCTCTTAATATGTATCTGTCTGTATCTTATGAAATGTCTTTCTGCATTTTGCTTCTGTTGTTTCTACTTTTCTCTTATTATCTGTAACATTCTCTCCAACAGCTGAAAGACCTGGCTGACAGATATATTTCTCACTATGAGCTCACACGAGGAAGAGTGTTGTTGTACTTCAATGAGGTGACGAGCACAAACACACAGTCATAATTAAAGGGATAGTTCGGCCAAAAATGATATTTAACACATGCATTACTCACCCTCAAGCCGTTCGAGATGCATATGTCAATCTTGTTTCAGACGAACACATTTTCAGTTATTTTAGAAAATGTCTTAGACCCTTCAGTGGATATAATGTGAAGCAATGGGGTCCACCTCCTTCAAGTCCCAAAATGTGCATACATCCTTCACAAAAGTAATCCATCCGGCTCCAGGGGGATAAACGAAGGCCTTCTGAGGGTAATCCGTGTGGTTTTGTCGTAAAAATATACATATTTAAAACTTTATAAATGAAAATATCTGACTTCCGGCAACGATCGACGCGCGTTCACGGGTGATGGAAGTCGGCGTACGAGGTAGGACGTAGCGTAGGAACCGTCGTGACGTAGAACGAACGCGCCTGCGCAGCCAGAGTGCAGAGCAAAACAAAACTACACTCAGTTCACCCGTGAACGCGCGTCGATCGTTGCCGGAAGTCAGATATTTTCATTTATAAAGTTTTAAATATGTATATTTTTATGACAAAACCGCACGGATTACCCTCAGAAGGCCTTCGTTTATCCCCCTGGAGCCGGATGGATTACTTTTGTGAAGGATGTATGCACATTTTGGGACTTGAAGGAGGTGGACTCCATTGCTTCACATTATATCCACTGAAGGGTCTAAGACATTTTCTAAAATAACTGAAAATGTGTTCGTCTGAAACAAGATTGACATATACATCTCGAATGGCTTGAGGGTGAGTAATGCATGTGTTAAATATCATTTTTGGCCGAACTATCCCTTTAAAGGTGATCTAAGCGATCTTGGGTGACATCACTTCTTGTTGACGTTCAAAGTATTGTCAAACAAAACGGAGGCTAGCTAGACCCTCCCTCCTCCTCATCCGCGCACTTCCGAATCCTTCTTGTCGGTTATTGGCTGGAACACGGTTTGTTATGTTTCGTGGTGCGGGTTGGCCCAGTTTGTTTTTGTTGTCGTTTGTGGAGTCTGGGGTGTCTACAGAGACCGCATTTTTTACAGTGTGTTCAGGGGACAGGCAGCTAGCGGAGAGTGAGGAGATGTTTGCTGAATGTGACAAAAATGTTTTGGCCTAAAAAACGTGTGACATTGCTTAGAGCACCTTTTAATCATATCGCCCACTTAAAAAAATAAATAAAAAATAAATAAAACTTGTATCTCCTTCCCCCCTCAGATAGATGAAGATGGGACCTGTATAGCATTCGGAGCTAAGCAAAGTGTGCCCATTGGATTAGTTCAACCAGCTCCTGCTACATTTTATGATTACTATGAACCAGGCAAGCAGTTCCTCCATTTCACTTCAAATGTTCTGTATTTTACCGGACTGTGACATTTAATCTTGTTAATGACATGATAAATATAATTTGATAAATATTTAATGGGAGCATAATATCAAAATGTCAAGGTGTTATAACTGTCTTGATATAATAATGAAGATAAAATCTTATTGAAGAGCTGAATTCTGAAAAGATAACATACATTTTTCATATTTAAAAGTTTTTTTGAGGAAATTATGAAAAAAGAAACATTTGATGTGTGTGTGTGTGTGTGTGTGTGTGTGTGTGTGTGTGTGTGTGTGTGTGTGTGTGTGTGTGTGTGTGTGTGTGTGTGTGTGTGTGTGTGTGTGTGTGTGTGAGAGAGAGAGAGAGAGAGAGAGAGAGAGAATATTTCCTTTTCAATTGATTGTTACAACACAATATTTGAGTTATTACTTCAAAACTATTCTTTAAAATTCTGTACAAATATTTAAAACCATTTGAGACCAACATTAATATGGAGTACATATCCAAAAACTTATTTTAAACTAGATTTTCAAAAGTCCCCCTCCCTCTTCTCCCCCCTTTTTCTTTATTGTGGATGCTCTGATTTGTCACTGAAGTAAATATCAATCCCCATCGTTTTCACAGACAGGAGATGTTCTGTGCTGTACAGCGCCCCCAAGAGGAGCAACATGGTTTCTGTCCTGTGCTCAGATGATGTGTGCCAATGTGCAGAAAGTAGGTTCTCAGTAATTAATTTACCATTCAATCAATTAGACCCATTAAAACCAGTTAGCATGTCTACACTCCGATGATTGTTAATTGTAGAATTGGTTTGATTTTTATGCCATAATAAAATCTAATGGTCTCTGTGTCATCAGGGGGTTGTTTCACAGAGAAGAAAACAACTGAGATGAAAATCACTAAAAAGGACAGATATGATTATGCTTGTTACGACTCCAACATTGACTATGGTTTGTGACCCAAATTTATACAAGCAAACATTAACACAACTTAAAAGATTTTTGAGGGTCAAGTATTTTCAATAAAATATTATAAACTGGAGCAGAAATGACCTTTACTAATGCATATTCTTTTTCTGACAGCATTTAAAGTCATTGTGGATTCAGTTACTGAAGAGAGCAACTTTATCTTGTATTCAACATCTGTAAAGGTGGTCCTCCAATACAGTAAGTAAAAATATCTAAAAATAATAGCAAGTTCATTAGAGTGTCACATGCATTACAGTAATTATGAGCAATACAGATAATGTCATGAGCATTTTAAAACAATAAATGAAGAAAAGGAGCTTGTGCTGAGCTTGTTATTTTATTATAAATGCTCTGCTAAATTAAGAGTTTACCCTCTAAACCTCAGTGGGAGACTTGGATGTGAGCCCAGACAACACACGGGTGTTTGCCAAGAGAAAGCACTGTAAGGGTGAGCTGAAAGAGGGCGAGACGTACCTCATCATGGGCAATGATGGTCCCACCAAAGACTCGAGTGGAAAGTAAGTAATTTTTCATTTTTTCATTTTGAAGATGTATTTCTTATTGAAAAGTTTGGGTGGGACTTATTTCAGATTTTCTGTTTTCTGGATATTTAGAAATGTTCTAATACACACAGTAAATAAAATAATTAGTGCTGTCAATTAATTTAAAAATAACTAGATTAATCACACATTTGTTTCTGTGATTAACCTCGATTAATCGCAATTAAACACAAGTTTTTATAAGTTTTTAATATATTTTATAATGTAATACAGCTACTGATGTCTCGATGTCTCCCCCATTTTAAGACATTAATTATAGCCATTCAACATTACAGTGTATAATGGACAATTACAATACTTTTGTCCTAATTTCTTCACTTGCAAAAAATAAACCCTTGAGCTTTTATTTTGGAGAAAACACCAGATCACCATGCTGATCGCGTGAGCAAAGTGCGCACTTTTCTTTAAATAACGCAGCACAAACAGAATGCTTATATAGGCTATTAAAGTATTTTGCTCAAGTTTTATAAAAGCACAAAGCCATATAAATTTTATATGATATGGTTTCGATTTTAGTTCGTTTTTCAAAATATAACACTACAGACCTTTATGTTAGCCTATGAGTTTCACATCTCATATGTATTGTAAAAAGGGAGAAGAGCGAGTTCGACAAATTCGAACTTGGGTCGAACGCCTCAAAAGCTTCTTTCAAGCACCTCATGCCCTACAACCATAGACTGTAAAAAAAGATGGACAACGCCCCTTCGCTCTTTTCCATTGGAGAGAACTGAAGCCGCTAGTGTCCCGATATGGCGCTGACATATTGGAACTTGAGTCTGCGCAGTAGCGTTTTCGGGACCAGTCATGCGCAGTCGTGAGCAGGAAGTAAAGCTGTGAAATCAAGGCCCCGCCCCCACTCTCGCTGAATCAATCATAAGCACACGCCCGACGCCCCTGCACTTTTCTTAAGTGGCCTTGTCTGCTCCGTTCCTATCCAATGATGTCTGCTGATTGCAGTACCTCGTTAAAATAAGGTAAATACAACTACTAACCACATAGTCAACATTATGAAAAAAAGTCTGTTGGTGCTTCAGTGACTACTTCGCACAGAGAAGCTGTCAATCATGATGTCACAGCACCGTTTTTATAGCATCAAATAACTAACTAAAAACTAACTTATTTTAAAAACAAACACTTGAAATTACATCAACGTGATAGAAACTACAGTAAATGACAGAAACTATCTTTAGAAAAAAGATATGTGAAGTGTAATTTAATTGTTTAGTTGGTCTCACGTCCCGTTGAATAACATGGGGAGGCGGGGTTTATGAGCTATACTAGGACCGGTCACCGGGGGACGATCGAGACGTTTTGGCTTCACTTTTGAGGGCTTGTGCGGCACGCTTACCTACAACCAATGCCACTGTAGATATTTAGTGGTTGTCATCTTTTTGCCAAAAAGATGCACTTAGTGCAAATATAAGCTTCGTTATCGAAAATGTGAAAAAATAAGGATTTTTTTCTTCCACTCGCTTGGGCCCCATAATGCCCATTGGATAATCCAGCCCTGGGTGCCCCCCTATTGGCTGGTGCCCCAGGGCACTCGCCCAATCCCGTCTATGGATAATCCGGCTCTAGGCCACATTCAAGTTCAAAACGGTGCACAACGTTTTGCTACGGTTTCCGGGTTGAACGTCATGTTTCCCGGAAACCGCGTGCACTGGTGTGCAACGGGGTTTGAGATACGTTTTCTCTTGTTTGGTGGGTGTGTCAGAACTGCAGTCCAATCAGCAGCAACATCTATATAAAGCACGCGGTATTAAAGTGAACTGCACAATGGGTTCAAGGAAAGTCATTTACAAATGTGTTTGATGCAGCTCGGTATACGCAACAACTGAGAATATTAGAAGACATGTTTCTCGTAAGTTTTATTGTAAAAATATAGGATATCAACATAATGATGTAGTTGTTTATATTTTTAGCTTCATTGCAAGTGTATGGCATTTGGTATAGAAATAAACAATGGTAATTAAGTGCTTTTCCTAAAAATGAGAAAGAAAATACAGGGTATTAAAACAGTATGAACAATGAATAAAGTCAGTAGGCCTATGTGAGGCTAAATAGATGTGTTTTAGTCTGAATTAGGTAAGATGTGTGCTTCCATTTCAGTTTCCACAAATCCCTTCACTCGATTGGGATGTTCTCTTGTGTTCTGGGCGGCAAGTGCAGTAACTGTAACATCGGGCATATTTTGTAGTATTAAACACATATTTATACCAACTTCATCAGGCTCCGAAAATTCATCACAAAGAACACAAAGAATGGCTTTCTCAGCTGCCATAGTTGCAACTATTGCGTCATCAGAACAGTGCGTTCAACGCATCACCGTTTCTGTTTAAAAAACGTTGTGCAACGTTTTGTCGGGGCTGAACCTGGTCTTTGGAAGTCCATCAAACCGCATATTCATGATAAAAGTGCTCGAAACGGCTCTGGTAGTTAATAAAGGCCTTCTGAAGTGAAGCGATGAGTTCATGTAAGAAAAATATCCATATTTAAAACTTTATCAACTAAAATAACTAGCTTCCGGCAGACGGCCGTACGCATCGATTGACGCCAAAAGAGTAACAGTTCAACTTGATGCACAATGTAATGATGGCAAATGACGCCTCTCGCGGTTCAAACAAAAAAGGTCTGGCAACCACGTGCGTTATTGCGTAGTGCGTCAAGTTCAAGGGATACTCTTTTGCTTTAGTTGACTTGCGAATGGCCATCTGCCAGAAGCTATTTATTTTATTCGATAAAGTTTTAAATATGGATATTTTTCTTACATGAACGCATCACTTCACTTCAGAAGGCCTTAACGCCTTGAGACGTGTGGAGCACTTTAATCATGAATATATGCGCTTTGGTAGACTTCCAATACAGACTGTCATTCACTGCCATTATCAAGCTTGGAAGAGGTAGGACATTTTTTAAAGCTGCAGTCCGTAGCTTTTTTTGGGGTTAAAAATGATCCAAAATACATATTTGAGAAAATACATAACCAGCCAGTGTTCAAAACTATCTGCTTGCCTTAGCTCGATTCAAAGCGGTAAGCTTGTAATAATGTTTTTAATTCCAGTGGTACTTGTGGATTTCCGCGGGAGATTCGAGCATGTCTTTGCGTCATTACGTCACATCTGTACACATAAAGAAGGAGTCTCGGCTAGTAGGCAATATTGCGTGTGAGGATGCTGGAGGTGGAGATTTATAGCCTTTTCTCACTGCACTTGATATAATTAAACTTATCAATTTGATGGAGGATCCAGAAAGCTTCAAACGACAATCACCAGTGACAACTAGAGACGGGTGACGTTGTAAAATGCAAAAGACTTAGTTCGGACTTCGGAGTGGCTACAGAAAAAAAGAGACTGCAATCGGCCCATGCAAAAACAAGGATACATATCGGAAGGACACTGCAATGTCAGAACCAGAACAAAAGTGGATGTTTATTACTAGTTTAGATGACATTTTCCAGTGAAAATTATTATGTTGGTCATACTTCCAAAAAGAATAATCTGTGATTCTGAATGCCAGTATCCACATCGGCGCAGTGACCGACAGCTGCACACTCTCCTCAAACATTGTGTTCATCCGCGCTGTGCCATGTCGAGGGTGTTGAAGTACAACTCACGTAAAGTTGATAATTCCGCGAATGACTGCAATTGCAGATTTCGAACAGAGATGGCGACAAAGAGGAAAAACGCCGGACGCTTACAAAACTATCAGATTAAAGTTGTAATATTACATTTATTCGTTAAGTTTAAGTGTAACATCTTCATAAAATATATGGGTAAATGTGTTAATGTAACATATTTTGCGGTAGCGTCTAGGATATTTTATGACGATTGTTTTTTAAAGCTTTATATTAATTATTTGTGTTCCATATACACACATATAATTGTATTCTGTGTAAAGATGAGATTTTAAGATTTAAAATGATACTATATATGGGGTTATAGTATCTCCAGAAACATAAAAAAAAATAAGTTTAAATATAATGACGTAGCTCTTTTGCCCGCCCACGGGCGATCAGAGTGGAAGAGGTTAAATATTTTAACATGTTGAACTGGACAAAAATCAATCGCATGCCTTAATGCGTTAACGTTGACAGCACTAAAAATAATATAATTAATTTAAATAGTTAAATAGTTTCCATACTTTTCTGGTTTATACACTAGCCTACCATTTAAAAGTTTGCAGTCAGTACATTTTTTTTTAACAATAATAATAATAATAATACTTTTATTTAGCAAGGATGTATTACATTGATCAGAAGTGACAGCAAAGGTTACAAAAAAATGTATTCCAAATAAATTCTGTTCTTTTGAACTATTTGTTAAAGAATCCTAAAAATATGTATCACGGTTTCCACAAACTCACAGCAATAGAATGCAGTCTTGGTGAACATAAAAAAGCATTTTTCAAAATTGTACTGACCCCAAACTTTTGAACGGTAGTGTACATGTAACATAAATTCAGATGTGCTTTAATACTAGAAAATAACTTAATACAATATCGTATTAAGAAAATAACTTTATACATGGAAAGCTGCCTATACATAAAAAATGTAGGATCCTTTGCATTTAGATTAGATATTATATTTCAGGGTCTTTGGCATCAAAAACCTTGAAAACAGATGGACTAGAACATAGAAGACCTTAAAGCTAATAGACATGAACTCTTTCTCTCTCAGCATGCAGTACCTGTTGGATTCAAAGACATGGGTTGAGCAGAAGCTATCAACCTCAACATGCAAAGCAGCAGTCAATATGATTTACTGCACGGAACAGAACGATTTTGTGAAAGAGTACCAAGTTGATAGGTGTAAACCTGTCTGAACTGCAATTTGGGGAATTTAATAATTCCACATGCAACTACAGCAGAGGAGGAATCTACATGTATCCCTAAATTGTAAAACAGCTTTTGTAAACAAAGCTCATCTTTTTATGCTACAGATTATAATAACTGAAAACCTAAGACATGCATATGCTTTTCTGTTATCATGTCTTAAAATAAACGTGCCATCAAAGCATTTTAATGTACGTATATTCAAAACAATCACAATAGTGCATTATTTCCCGCCCACTTTTTCAGCTGCATTTTGTTCCAGAAGTATTTTTTTGTTGAAGTGTTTAGGGCATAAATGACGCCAACCAGCTGTGAGGTGAATCACAACATCACAAACCTTTTTTTTAAGCAAAAATGTAATTGAAAATTTGAGAAAAAGAACACAACCGTTACATCAGTGAAACATCTCACCTGAGAGCTGAATCACTTCGAATGGTAACAAAACAAGCCAATGGACATTGGCGAGTGAGATTTGCATCGCAAACCACTCCCCGTGCCACGTGTAAGGAAGTGTGCAGCACTCACCATAGACAGTAAAAGAAATGGACACAGTGACCCCATAGACTTCAACGGAGAAAAGTGAAGTCAATTAGAAGAACTCACTTCCTGATGGCTGAGCGTACTGCGCAGGCTCAAACTGAGCTTGACGACGTAGATGTAATGTGAGCAACCTGTCTGACAGTTGTACATCTTCTAGTAGCTGTGCCAAGAGGAATCTGAATCATTCCCTTCTGACTCTTGCAGAGACGGAGAGTGAGAGTAGGAGCTGTCCATGAGCTAGCAGCGGGAGCAACTTTATGACTGTAAATGGGCTTCTCCCTTGACTTTATGCCTCCACGTCCCCCCGATTGTCCGTGAGCTTCTCCTCCTGTCTATACGGTAATTTCTCTAGTGTGCGACAGAGAGTCATGTGTTATGACGCAATCGTTAGCCTTTTTTTTTTTACAAAAACTGCTTCTACGGGGCCATAACGTAAGATACAAGGTAATGGAGCCTTTTATACATTGTCGTGTTTCTTTAGAAATAAATAATGGACAAATGGAGTCTTTAAACGCCTCAGATGTAAAGTTATTCGCTGTCAAAGTGACGCCAAAATGAATGGGAGTCAATGGAATGCTAACAGCAGGTGAAGGCTTGCTAGCCAATGGCGGCCCCCAGGGAGACTTTAGATTACCCCCTTGCCAGTCACTCATTCAAGTTTTTGCTGAGGAGCCGAGACGGTGTCCTGGCCGGTCAGCAGTTGCACAGGGATTGTGGTGACGGGGCGTAACGTCTCCGTTCCTGGGATACATTAGTAATCTAGACGTTCCTTATCTGTCAGTTTTGGGTGTTTAAGGGGAAGCGAGGACTTAATCACAGGAAAGAAATGGGCTTTTTATTAATAAAATAAAACAAACAAAAAAACCTCTCATGCTCCACAGCCAGTTGAGTTACCAGTGGAACGTGCTGGACCATCCTCGAGGTACCAGTCATTTCATTTGGTGCTCCCCGCGACGATCAGATGTCGATCGCTGCATCGGAGGGTGGGTCAGACTTATCCGCGGATGACGGCTCGGAGCCGCTGTCTCCTTCAGGTGTGCCAGCGGTGCCCGAGTCGGACCAAGAGATGATGGCCATGCTTTCCCGGGCCGCCAACAGGATCGGGCTCGAGTGGAATCCTCCACCGTGTCCCGAGCCCTCGAGGCTGGACGATTGGTATCTCGGGATGGTGTGCGCTGGTTCTCAGCAACCCACCCCAGTACCTTTCTTCCCGGAGGTGCATGAGGAGCTCACAGGGACGTGGACGGCCCTGTGTTCCCTGTGTTCCACCCTGCTGCCCCACCCCGGGTCACTACGGTCCCTTTGGTCCCGTTTGTACGGTCTCTGCGAGCCTTGTTAGCGCTCCCCAGTCCGTCTCGCTGGCTCATTCGGAACATCAGGCTCGGCTATGCGATTCAGTTCGCCCGGCGTCCCCCAAGTTTCGGGGCATCCACTCCACTGCAGTGAGAGCAGCCGATGCCCATGTCTTGAGTGTGGAAATCGCAGTCCTACTGGCGAAGGACGCGATAGAACCGGTCCCTCCAGCCGATATGAGGTCAGGGCACTACAGTTCCTACTTCATTGTACCCAAGAAAGGTGGTGGGTTACGACCAATCTTCCGTCCCCAAGATTGGTTTGCAGCGATCGGCCTGAAGGACGCGTACTTTCATGTCTTGATTCTTCCTCGACACAGGCCGTTTCTGCGATTTGCGTTCGAGGGTCGAGCATATCAGTACAAAGTCCTACCCTTCACGCTGTCTGTGTCCCCCCGTGTCTTCATGAAAGTCACGGAGGGGGCCCTTGTTCCCATGAGAGAACAGGGCGTTCGCATCCTAAACTATCTCGATGACTGGCTCATACGATCCCAATCCTTTACAGGACTGACGGCAGGCTCTTCAACCTCAACAAGTTTAAAGCCAAGAGTAAAGTCAGGAATACCACCATCATGGAGCTGCAATACGCCGATGATAACACCATTGCAGCACACTCCCCTAAAGACCTCCAGGGCATTCTAAATGCCTTTGCCAAGACATACAGAGCCCTGGGTTTGGCCTTAAACATCAAGAAAACTCAGGTTCTGTATCAACCACCAGCTAACCAGCTATCACAACAGCCCATTATCAAAGTGGATAACACCACTCTGGAAAACGTGGACCACTTCACCTACTTTGGCAGCATTCTCTCCTCCAAAGCTGATATAGACTGTGAAGTTAAACATCGCCTGAGCTGTGCCAGCGGAGCCTATGCCAAAGTTTTTGATGACCGAGACCTGAGGGCTAAAACCAAGGTCCTGGTTTACAGAGCTGTGATTCTCCCAACTCTGCTGTATGGAGTGGATTCCTGGACAACCTACAGCAGACATTTGAGAGCACTGGAACTATTCCATCAAAGAGCCTTAAGGAAAATCTTGAGGATCAACTGGGAAGACAAACATACAAACTCCAGTATTCTGGAAGAAACGAATATACCCAGCATCACTACGACCATAATGCAGCACCAACTCCGATGGACAGGACATGTCATCCGCATGCCCAACAACCGTCTCCCAAAGTAGATCCTGTACTCCCAGCTAAAGGAAGGACAGCGGGCCCCTGGGGCCAAAGAAACGTTTTAAGGACAATATTAAGACCAGGCTGGAAAAGTTTAACATCACGCCTGGTGACTGGGAGAATCTAGCGTTTAACAGGGACTACTGGAGAAAGGCAGTGCTCAAAGGTGCAGCACACCATGAAACAGAACTCCGCCATGCCGCAGAAAGGCTCCACCACTACACAACACCTCAACCTTCCAATGCCAACATTGCAGCAGAATCTGTGGATCACAGATCGGCCTTTACAGCCACCTGAGGATCCACAAATAAGGTGACCCGACGAGAGGACAGTCATACTCGTCTCGAGTGACCGCCGAAGAAGAAGAATGGATAATCTGCAGAACCTGCCTCAGGCAATTTGCATCTATTTTGGTCTGTCTTATGCTTTAAATTTGGATTACGCAAAAGACATGAAAAACATTTTTAACTTCATTCAGAAATTGACAAATTGGTTTGAGACGGAACAAACTCCCACCAAAACTGCAATCTCTGAAAAATCTCCTTTTGAGTAATCAAATGTGCAAGAATAATGATGTTTGGCATTAGATTACATTTGTTTATGACAGTGGAATTAGATTAGTTGATAGAAAAATAAAAGGGAAACTAGCCACTTGTTTAAAATTGTCCGCCAATTAGTTCATGAGCAAGTTAAAGGGTTAGTTCACCCAAAAACAATTCTGTGAGTAATTACTCACCCTCATGCCATTCCAAACCCGTAAGACTTTCGTTCATCTTCAGAACACAAATAAAGATATTTCTGATGAAATCTGAGAGCTTTCTGTCCCTCCATTGACCGCAACATCATTTCAACCTTAAAGGCCCAGAAAGGTAGTAAAAACATTGTTAAAATAGTCCATGTGACTACAGTAGTTCAACCTTAATATTATGAAGCGACGAGAATACTTTTTATGCGCAAAAAAACCCCCAAATAACGACATTAGTTAACATGAACTAAGAATTAACAATACTTCTACAGCATTTATTAATCTTAGTTCATATTAATTTCAACATGTGAACTAATATGAATAAACAATGAACAGCTGAATTTCTATTAACAAAGATTAATTAATACAATAGCAAATGTATTGCTCATTGTTAGTTCATGTTAGTTAATACACTAACTAATGTTAATGAACCCTCTAATGAACCTTATTATAAAGTGTTTCCATTTTTTTGTTTTAAAAAACCTAAAGTAAGTGACTGTTTACATAAATTGTATACCCCTATGCAAACTTGTGTGGACCTTGTGTCATTTGTTAAGAAAACAAATACACTAAATGTACCTTTGAACATCATTGCCTTAAATTTATTTGTCCAGTTGTAAATGTTATCTTTGTAAAATTGTGAAACTATTCTCAATGATTTATAATAGATGATTGATAGCACTTAAGTTATTGTAATAAAGCGTGCTTGCTCTTTTTAAGGCAATTGGTTTGCAAGTAAACTGGATTGCTTTTGAAGTAAATTAAACTCAGTAATTCCAAGTTGTAATGCAGAAAACATTAGAGTTAACACAACTAGCATAAATGAGTACATCTGAAGTAAATGATCAAGTATACTATACAAACTAGTTTTAAGTTACTGAATCTCTCTTGTAAGTGTACACTACTAGACATGCACTTGTTAGTATACTATTCCTATTTCACTTTACTCGGTTTTTTCAAGGCAATCGGTTTGCATGCTTTTTTAAGTAAGGTTTACTAATTGGATTTTATTGGTGTATTACCATTGATTTGTGGTAAAAAAAAAAAAAAAATGTCAACATTAACTGAGGGTGCAAAAGTGATGTTGATAAAATATCACTTTGTAATGTTGAATCAATACTATTACTGTTGATTATGGGTTGAAATCTCAACATCGCTTCAACATTGAGGGTGTAAGATACTAAAGCAACATCACTTTGTAACGTTAATTCAATGCAATTAGCATTAACGCATCAACATTATTTAAATGATTACATGCTATCTGGGTTTAATATCCCATGAGTCCATGGGAGAGGATTTGTGAATGGCAGTGAAGTGACGCAACTCACATCGTGACAGTGAAAACATGAGGGATGTCATAAGTCCAGATTTCCATCATACTACACATTTTCATATAGAACATACTTTTTAGTGGCTGTGAAGCGTGTTCCTTGTCAGAAAAAAAAAAAAAATGTTTTAATGTTTTTTTTAAATAAATCTCTTATGCTTAACAAGGCTGCATTTATTCAGCAAGGCAGATTTATTCCTGTGATGACAAAGCTGACATAATTTCCCCAATCTTCAATGTCACATGATCCTTCAGAAATCATTCTATACTGATTTGCTGCTCAAGAAACATTTCTTCTTTTTATTATTATCAATGTTGAAAACAGCTGTGCTGTTTAAAATTTTTGTGGAAATGGTGATACTTCTTGCAGGATTATTTTATTGCCAGTATTTTGCTTGTGTTTGGCCTCTAGAGGTCTTCATGGGGCTGTCATGACATGACCAGCTTATCTTTAACTTGTAATTAGTGTTATGTTCACATATGTCTCGTTCAGTTGTGTGCCTATTTAAGTGTTTAAAACACTGCAACATTTTATTATCTCTTGCTTTTGGAATATATCTTTCTCTGTTTTATTGACATTTTCCTCTGGAGTTTTTAGCTTAAAGACCTTTGGAATTTTTGGACTGGTTTTTGTTATTTTATCATTACATTTTGCTGTTTTTTTCTCCAGCTGTGGATTTTTGCGTCTTGAGCTTTTACTTTTACTTTTACAGTGTGTTTTACTAATGGGTTTCTCCAGCTCAAGGATTGAGAGTCTGGGCCCTATCTTGCACCCAGCGCAATTGACTTTGTACACCGACGCATGTATCATTCCTATTTTGCCACCGCACAAAGCGCGATTTTCCCTCCACAGAAGCACGTCGCTAAACTAGGAAATGAACTTGCGCTCCCTGGGCGGTTCAGAGCAAAAAAAGGAGGTGTGTTCCGGCGCAAACAATCCCTTTTGCTATTTTGCTGTTCCATAAAACAATTGCGCCACTGACCAGAAAAAAACTAGTCTAAAGTCAGTGGCGCGTTGCGCGTTGTTCATTATGCTATTTTAAGGGCGCATGCTTGGCCATAATCAATGTAGCGTGTGCACAATGCGCATACACTTTGATTCTCTCATCTAAGCAGCAGTTTTTATTTTTGCAAATCATACATTATTACGATAGATAGATAGATAGATAGATAGATAGATAGATAGATAGATAGATAGATAGATAGATAGATAGATAGATAGATAGATAGATAGACAATTTATTATAAAAGCATACATGTAGCTTACACATTTACTCAAATTATCATACGCCTGTTTAACAGAAGTTAATTTGGGTGGGTTTCTCCATCCCCAATGTCACTTCTCTGTGTTTTACGGCCCTGACGAGAACGTTGCTCTCCTCGGCTGTGAACCGCTCCTGGCGCACGCCTGGCAAATCCGCCGTTATAATAGGAATCCGCCTTAGAACAAGCGCGCCTGCTCTTAAAGGGAATGTGAGATGACGCTCTGATTGGTTTATTTCATGTTACGCCCAAACCACACCTATGAATAATGAAGCTACTTCAGACCAACCCCTTTTAGATTTGCGCCTGGCGCAAGAGTCATTTATCCCGCCGGGAAAATAGCAACAGCGCCCAAGACCCGCCCACAAAGTTACTTGCCCTGTGCGCTTGACACTTGCGTTTTAGATCATTAAAATAGGGCCCTCTGACTCTCAAGACAGAGACCTGAGGTCAATTCTCAATTCTGACATTGATGAATAGAAAGTTCACTGGCTTCATTTATTTGTATTTATGAAATGTATATTATATTTATTAAATGGAAATCTTTTGTAACATTTTAAATGTCTTCACTGTCACATCTGATCAATTGAATGCATCCAATGAATAAAATTAATTTCTTTGTTTTTCTTTTTTTATCATACCACAAATGTTTAAATGGTACCATTGTTTCCATAAAAATGTTAAGTGTTTCTTGAGCAGCAAATTTGATTTCTGAAGGATCATGTGGCACTGAAGACTGGATTAATGCTGCTGGAAATTCAGTTTTACCATTACAGGAATAAATTGCGTTTTTAAATTTCTTAAAATGGAAAACAAGTATTTTAAATTGTAATGTTTTATGGTATTTTGATTAAATAAATATTGGTGAGCATGAACTTCTTTTTAAAAAAAAGTGTAATATTTCCAAAGTTGACGGATAATGTACAGTATTCTGTAACATTATCTTATGTTAATAATACTGAAATATGTTTGATTAGAAAATGTTGTATATAAGATATTAAATATAAGCAGTTTTTGTTTCTACACTGTTGTATGAATTGGCATGCCTGTATTTAATAGCCATTTTATTGCAAATGATTCTTTTCCAAAACAGTTCTGCATCGACTCCGCAAATTTACCAAAGAGCCGATGATCATGTTATCCAGCATAATTTGATAATGTTCCAAAGAACATTGTGTGCTTCAAATGAAGCAAGAACGTCTGACCTTTAGTTCTAAAAAGTTGCATGTAATGTTTTTTTTAACTCTTCATTTTGTCAACTTTTCTTTGTTTTAATTAAATCCTAAACCTTTCTCTGGAAAAAAACTGAATTGAATTTATTTTAAATAACTTGATGTTTAGACAATGTTTCAGTAATATCGAACAAAAGACTACGGACCTAGATAACAGTGACTATAATACATTTTCAAAATTACCACTTATCCAAATAGAATTGAGGCAAAGCACATCAAATCAATGATGCATATTTAAGTGTTTAAAACACTGGAACATTGTATTATCTTTTGCTTTTGGAATATACCTTTCTTTGTTTTATTGACATTATCCTCTAGAGTTTTTTGCTTAAAGACCTTTGGAATTTTTGGACTGGTTTTTGTTATTTTATCATTACATTTAAATAATACTGAAATATGAACAGTATTTAAATAAAAAATACAGTATTTAAATAAAAAATAAAATCCTAAACCTTTCTCTGGAAATAAACTGAATTGAATTTCTTTTAAATAACTAGATTTTTAGACAATGTTTCAGTAATATCTAATGAAAGACTACAGACCTAGATAATAGTGACTCTATAATACATTTTCAAAATTACCCGAATAGAATTGTGCCAAAGCACATCAAATCATTGATTTTTGTCTTGAAATTCTTATAAATCACATGACTTTGGAGAAGGCACTTTAAATGTGTCCAATGAGAGAGCACATATCCTGGTTGTGCAATGACAGAACTCTGATAGACCCCTTAATCCCCATAATAACATTCATTCAGTTGCTATTGTGCAACATCTGCATAGCAGAGCTGAGAGACCAAAATCTGTTTGGAATCTTCTGCTGCTCACACAGGACTCACATTCACCATGGAGGTGCACATGCGTCCTCTTCTCTATCTGCTGCTGTGCATGAATTGTGCAGTTCAGGGAGATAACAATAAGAGGTAAGTATTATACAGTAGATACAAATATTATTTTGTTGTTATTAGTAGTATAATTATTATTATTATTGGTGGTGGTAGAATCATTTTAATAATAATAATGAAACAAAACGGTATCTGTTCCTTTAAGCTGATGACATATAAGCTGTGTGGCTTACTTCTACTATTAATAATAATAATAATGATGATGATGTTGACCAATAGCAATATACAGTGGTGGCCAAAAGCGATGTCCGGACGTGACCCTACAAGCTCAATTAAACCATCAACATAAAATGAAAATGTTTTATGTTTTTAAAAATATTTTAAATATGAGGGAAGAACAATATATATTTATATATATATATTACGTAAAAAAATGCATAGAATAACAAAAAGCTCACAGGCAAAAATCATACATTGACTACAATATAATCAGTTATTAATATTTTGTTGGTTTTGTACAAAATGATTTGTGACAGCCTGGCCAAATATTATGTCTACATAATTTGGCATGTTTTATTGCATTATCACAAATAAAAAATTTACTCTAAGCACAACAATGCAATATGCTTACAAACTCTTTAACACATTTTTAATAATATTTGAATAAAGTGTGAAGACGGCAAAATATAGGCCGGATATCACTTTTGGCCACCAGGTACTTAAGCAGTGTTTTATTTAGGCTACTGTTGTACGTAATGCAATTTAGTGGGAGTTGACTTTAATGTAATAATGGTCACAACCATAATAACAAATGACAATAGTTTTGAAAAAGCACAATGTCAAGATGAGGATGCACTTGATGTTCAGTTTCCATATGCTGGTTCACAAATTTAGTTGTTATTGGATTTTCAAAAAGTGTAGTTCACAATCCACTGCAAATTCGCATTGGGTCTATAGCTCAACTTTTCATTCTTTACTTATGTTCTTGTTGATTACTTAGTTTGACTTTATTATCATATTACTGAAGAGATATTGTATATGAAAGCCGTTGCCATTTTTATCAATATTTTTTAATAAGTTGTCATGGAAATTCTCTTGGTTTGTGTGTATCAGATTCCTAATCACTGCTCCGAGTGTCTTTCATGTTGGTGTGAAAGAACCCATATGGATTCAGGTGGGGGAGGCATTGCTTGGAAAACCTGTGTCCTGTCAGTTAGAAACGGAGATGCGTATTCCCATGTCCACACAGGAGACCAAAACAATCAGCAAAAAAGGACAGTTTGAGGCAGTGAAGCTTGAGGTAAAGAAATAAATATATAAATGATTTGAATGTAATTTCAGACTAATACTAAAAGGTTATTTTAGCAGGATATGTTTAAGTATACATATTCAAAATAATTAGTTAGATATGAAACAATGTTAAAATTATGGAATAATATGTGCAACAAAAATAATCATAAAAGCATCAACACACAGTTCTGTCATTTGAAAAAAGTTGCTGTGTTTGAGGCTCAATTCTGTTTTTCCTTTTCAAGATATTTGCAAATGAAGTTTCAAACCTGAAATCGATCAGTGGAGAGCCTCCTTATCTCAACCTGGCATGTGAAGTTGATGGTCAGAAATGGCAGACTCGCGTCCTGGTCTCCAAACACAGTGGCTACATCTTTATTCAGACTGACCAACCCATTTACAACCCCACACAGAAAGGTACAATAAACACATTGTTTGCCTTACTAATGAGCCAAACGTCAGAAAAGTCTAATATAGCTGTACCAAAATGGCAACTAAGATCCAGTTGCCTAAGTCTAAACATGCAAAAATTATAAACAAAAGCTGATGGTAAGCTTTGGTAACAAAGAAGAACAGTAACGCTTCCTTTTACAGTACAGTATACTTACGTGTACTTACAGTGTACTTACCTAGAAAGTACTGGCTAATATAAGGTTAGTACATGGGTTAGGGGTAGGTTTAGGGGTAGGTTAAGGTTAGTACCTAGTTATTACCCAGTAATTATAATTGCTATAATAAGTACATAGTAAGTACATGGGTAACAAGACTGTAAAAGGAAACGTTACCAGAAGATCTTACAAATGTGTCGTGTAACAAATGACAGAGGATTCAGTAGTGAGTGTGCAAACAATAAAGTATATTTAGGAACAAAGTAAGAGTAGACGCCGAGGGTCAGATGAAATAGAGGTCCCCGGAAACAGTCTCTCTCGGCAGCGCAGGGACGTGAATGGGCAACCCGATCCCCGTGGAAGAAGGAAGAGCGATCAGGAAGACACAATCCGTAAACAGACTGTGCATGAAAAGCGCATTTCTCCACCTTGACAAAATGCCCATTCTCTAGCAGCCTCTGGAGCACTCGTCTGACATGCTGAACATGTTCCTGAAGGGAAGAGGAAAATATCAATATGTCATCCAGGTAGACATATATGAACTGATCTACCATATCTTTCAGCATGTCATTGACGAGTGCCTGGAAAACCGTAGGGGAGTTAGACAGACCAAAAGGCATGACCAAATATAAAAAATGCCTCCTGGGGTTATTAAAAGCGGTTTTCCACTCATCCCTGTCCCTTATGCGAACCAAAGCGAACCAAATGATATGCATTGTGCAAGTCCAGTTTTGTGAAGATGGATGCTCCCTGCAACCGCTCGAAGGCTGAAGACAGCAATGGCAAAGGACAAGTTTTCTTTACCGTGATATTGTTCGGCCCATCTGTAATCAATACACGGTCGCAGAGAACCATCCTTCTTCCCCACAAAAAAGAACCCCCACTCAAGAAGAGGAAGGATGAATGAATCCGGCAGCTAGAGAAACAGAAATGTATTTCTCCATGGCCTCTCTTTCTGGAGCAGAAGGCGAGTATAAATTGCCCTTAGGTGGAGACGTACCTGGTAGTAGATCTATACCACAGTCATGGGGACGATGTGGAGGAAGAGAAGCAGCCCAGGACTTACTGAACACTTCCTTCAGGTCGAGGTACTCCTCAGGCAAGTTTGACAAATTCACCGACTCATCCTGCAACACAGAACAAGACACTGACGAACAGGCAGACACAAGACAGGAGGCATAGCACTGAGTACTCCAAGCTGAAATGGAACTGTGGCGATAGGAACCAGCGTAGAGTCCATAAGCATGAACGACAGCTCCTCCGTGTGGTTCCCTGACGTGATGAGGGTAATGAGATCGGTGGTGAGTGAAATGTCTGGAAGTTCTTGAACATTAAGTGCATTGATGGAAATCCTGTTAGTGAGGAGAATGATAGGAATCTGAAGTTTCTGAGCTAGAGCCATGTCCATGAAGTTTCCTTCGGGCCCTGAATCCAGCGAGGCCTGGCAGTGGTGAAAGCAAGTTGCCCATTGCAGTCTTAAAGGGAGGAGAGTAGAAGATGAGGATTTTTCCACGGAGGGTCCTCCCGATATTAGCCTCAGTCCTACTACCTGGCTTGATCTTTTACCGGGCAGTTAATCCTAAGGTTCCGATCAAAGACCTGCTTCATCTCCTCGGAGAGTGCTTGGAACGAGGAACAGCACTGATGTTGATTCTCCCACATGCCGTTCCCCACTGAACGTCGTCACTAAGGCCACCGTAGACTGTTTTGTAGCAAATGTCAGGGGCTGAAGAGAGAAGAACAATGAACACTTGGTTAGAAATGCTCTGCAGAAGTTCGGCTCACCAGAGTACACTTCCGGAGTGGGTAGCACAAACTGCACGCGGCTCATGCAGACGGCTACTGTTCGATGGAATGGGGGGAACAGGTGGCGGGGGTGGCACAGTGGGCATTCTCAGTTGTTGGAGTTGATTGGTGAGCTCGGACACCTGCGTTAGCAAGGCTTGCACCGCGCAACCCGTAGCAGCCATCTGTTCCTCTTGATAATGCATACGAGCTTTGTTGTTAGAGAGAGACTCTCTCAAATCTGATGCACTCGCTTTATCCATTAGTGGTCAGATCGCTCTATCAGGTAACAAATGACAGAGGATTCAGTAGCGAGTTTTCAAACAATAAAGTTTATTCAGGAACAAAGTAAGAGGAGACGCCTAGGGGCAGATAGAGGTGCCCGGAAACAGTCTCTCTCTGCAGTGCAGGGACACTAATGGGCAACCCAATCCTCCATGAAAGAAGAAAGAGCGATCAGGAAGACACAATCCATAATCCAGACACGTAACTCAGGGAACACAAAGACAGCCAGAAGCATGACACAAAGACAGCCAGGAGCATGACACAAACCCCTGGGAACTCCAAACGATCTGACAAACACAAGCCGGAATACAATGACTATAAATAGACAAGACTGGTCAGTTGCAGCTGCAGCTGATGATCAGATCAGTGGTAATCAGCGGCCACACCCACACACACACAGGGAGAGAGAAAGAGTCAGTGAATTCATGAACCGTGACAAAATGTTTATGCAAAACATAAAATTTGGATGACAGTTAGTATCCACCTTATCAACATTAAAATGAGACTTTTTGTGAAAGACTTCTGGTTTTCCACATATTTAAAGGCAAGATTTTTGGATTCAAATATCTAAAAACCACTAAAACAGTGTTATATATTGTGTTGACTTTAAGAAGAGTGTACTTTCTCCCAAACAGAGAACCACTTTTCTGAGTGTAATTTGGGATTCGACGACAATGCAGGCACGTCTGTCTCCTACATGTGTGGATTCTATCCTAACCATAGAGGCAAGAATGCTAGACCAGGAGCTTTCAGTTTTATAGATTCAAAGGTTGTTTGGTGTCATGGCGGTAGCAGTCAACATTATTGCATTGGGTCTACTGCACATGAGACATTTAATTCCTTTGCCTCATGAGATGCAGGAGCAAGAAAACCTCTAGCAGTTATGTCCGGTCCATGCCTTGAGAATCTATGTTGATCTATGAATCTATGAATCTATGTCACCGCTCAGCCCAGTGGCGTAGATCCTCTCAACTCCTGTTATGCTTTGGTGGTCGCAATTTGCGGCAGATTGTTACTTTTCTCACACATTCATTAGGTTCTACAGTATAGACGCAGATTCAACCCAAGGATCTCGAATGCTTCAGGATTGACCCAAGTCCAGTCTACGCTAAACAATCATCTGTACTTATACACAGTCTTGTGGACTAGCTGTGTTACTTTCAGCATGGTGACATTGGTATTGAAGGTCCCATAGCGGCAACACCATGACACAATGTTGAAGTTCCACTTTAAAGGAGAATGTCCAAGTTACGTATTATGTAACCTGGTTCCCGAGAAGGGAACGAGTCGCAGTGCCACATTGTCACACCTCAGTTACGCCTGTGTGTCTTCTTTAGACAATTAGAATCTGTTGATGCACATTTCTGGCATCTATTTATGGACTCTGTGACGGGCTGTGCTACATCACGTTCATTCGTTTGGTCAGTCAGATTGGCTTTGCTTCAGACACCAGCTCACACGTAAGCGTTCCCATAGCGTCAACACTATGATGCAGTGTCTCATTCTCAGGTAACCAGGTTACATACGTAACCTGATACGTTTTCTTTTTTATCAACATCAATATATTACAGTTTTTTTTTTTTTTCAATTAATGTGCATCTTAGGTCCTTTAACTGCCTCTACTGCCATACAGTTCATTTTAAATGGCTCTGCAGGGTGAAAAAATACAAACTTTCCATTTAGTCTGTAAATATACATTTATAATGTAAATATACCATGTCACAAGTCAAAAATCCATGTATGTATATTACTACTGTGTATTTAACCTGGTTATCTGTGTTCTCAGTTTGGTTCAGGATCTTCACTCTTGACCACTCTATGCGACCAAAATCAGAAATAGTTTATGTCTCTATATATGTAAGTAAGAAAGTTCTATTTTTATTTTGTACCTTTAATACAGTATGCTTCTCTGTAGATCATATAATGAGCATTGAGCACTAACACATTCTCAGAGTTTCCAATAGGAGAGGTCTCTCCTATTGCGTAAGTAGCTTACGCTATGGGAAAACTCCATTCTCGAGAAATATTGAAGTCTTTATGTTAAACGCATTGCAGCTGCACAGCAGACAGCAATGAGCGAGGCAGCTCGGTCATTGGCTGTGCTGCGGCAACTTGTTGGAACCAATGACGGGGCGACTCTGAACGCTCAGCCAAAGAGCGCGCTTCGCGCCTGCGCGCTCAGAGCCCGCCAAGATGGGCGTGGCTAAGGCTATATATTAGGCGTCCCGTCATGAGAGTTCTTTAGATTTTATCTCCTTCCTCTGGATTATTGGAGTCTTTTCGCCCGCCGTCAACAAGCCTACAGCAGGACTGCTACGAGGACGCCAGCGCCTTCACCCGCCTTCAAAGCCTTCTGCTACGCCATCCGGCGCGCATCACCTTTGATATCCTTTTACTGAAAAGCTATTTTGCAAGTGTTCGCCTCTGCGACACTTTTGTCTAAAGTTTTAGTGAAAGAGCAAATTTCGAGGCATTGTTTCAAATACCTTCGACCTGCGCCTCGTGCAGAGGCCCTCTTCCTGACGGGGACCGTCACATTATCTGCACTCGCTGCCTGGGACCTGACCACGCAGAAGCTGCTCTCACTCGAGGCGGATGCCCCGAATGTGACTCCCTGGGCCTCACCGAGCTGCGCGCTCTCTTTGCCGCGAACGAGCCTGCTACCACCGTGCTGCCGTCCCCTCTGTTCGAGCCGCGCAAGAAAAAGCGCCGCTCACAGAGGCCGCCAGAGCACGCGGACTTCAGTGACGTCACGCTGGACCAGTCCCCGCGTGCTTCACCACCACCCGAGGACTCCCCACCGCCAGTCCAATTCACGCAGGCGGACCAGCACCCCTCCAACAGAGCGGTGGGTCTCGTCTCGTTCGGCGCGTCAGGGGACGACGGTGAAAAGGATGACAGCCTTTCCATTGACGCTGCATCCGATGACCGGCCGGGCTCGGCCTTCGACCCCGCGCCGTCAACATTAGCGGACACGATCACGGGCACCCGCATGGACTCAGGGATGGTCCGCATCCTGTCTAAAAGCCGTGGAAGACCTCGGGCTCGACTGGTCTTCTCCGGAAGAACCCGCCCGCAGCCGGCTGGACGAGTGGTTCCTGCAGGGGCGCCGGCAGGCCCCTCGACAGACACCCTCCCCTTTCTTCCCCGAAGTTCACGACGAACTCACAAAGTCGTGGAAAGCCCCGCACTCTGCTCGCCTGAAGCCTTCTTTCTCTTCCTCTTCCTCGCTCTCCTCAGTGGACGGCGTGAGAGAAAGAGGCTACGAGGGAACCCCGCCCCTCGAGGAGGCTGTGGCCAACCATCTGTGCCCACCCTCCACCGCTGGATGGAAAGCCAAAGCTTGATTGCCCTGCCGATCTACCTCAGCTCTCCCGGCCAAGCTACGTCAGCGCTTCATTCCATGGCTGTTCTGCAAATCTATCAGGCCAAACTTCTCCACACCATGGACGAGTCTGGACCTGAACCTGAGGCTTTCAAGGACCTGCGCAGCGCCACTGATGTAGCCCTGCGAGCCACAAAGGCCACCGCCCAATCCATCGGCCGGGCCATGGCTTACCTGACTGTCCTTGAGCGCCATCTGTGGCTGACGCTAACAGAAATGAAGGACACGGATAAGGCGCCATTCCTCGACGCGCCTATCGCTCCAAGCGGCCTGTTCGGACCGGCGGTAAGAGAGTTCGCTGAACGCTTCACTGAAGCTCGGAAGGATTCGCAGGCTATGCGTCGCGGGTGCGAAGCGCGCTCATTGGTCGCGCGTTCAGAGTCTCCCCGTCATTGGTTCGAGCAAGTTGCCGCAGCACAGCCAATGACCGAGCTGCCTCGCTCATTGCTGTCTGCTGTGCAGCTGCAATGCGTTTTACATAAAGACTTCAATATTTCTCGAGAAACGGAGTTTTCCCATAGCGTAAGCTACTTACGCAATACTCGTTCCCTCCTCTCAGGGAACCGAGGTTACGTTAGTAACCGAGTCGTTTTTATTTCTAAGATTATATAATATTTCTAAGATTATATAAAAGATTATATAATTCTTTCTGCAGCATAATTTTTCACCATCGTTTATTGAGCAAATCAAGAAACTGGCTTGCCCTGCCTAACTGACCTTTATCTATCTCCTCAGAATGCTGATGGGAACAAGATCAAGAAATCGACGTACAAAGTTTTAGGTGGCATTTTGTCTAAGTGCTACCACATCCCTGATATTTCAAAGTACAGTCAATCTCATTTCATTTTCTATCACAGTAAAATACCATGTAGTATAACATTTCTGATGCTTATGAAGATAAATATTAGTATGCCGTTCAGTCTTTTTAAGATGACACCATTCTGAAGCTGCTGTATTTATATCAGCACATACTGTATACAACGTTTTAATTGAATTTCTCCAGACCTGGTGTATGGAAGATTACAGCACATTACAAAGGTGACGAGAAGAATCCTGCCATGCGTGAATTCAAGGTCCAGAAGTTTGGTAAATGAAGTGAAACTAAATATGGGCATTCACATATTTTCCTACTTTTATAAATATCTATAAAAATCTTTAATTTACAGATATTGCATTGCATCTAATTCAAATACAATGCTTTTTTGTCAGTTCTTCCCAGCTTTGGGGTTTCTGTTCAGTCAGAGAAAGCCTTTCTGCTAGTGAAGGCAGAGACATTCAAATTCACCATTCAAGCCTCGTAAGTTCACATTCAGATAAATAATACTCAAATAAATACTCTTAAAGGGATAGTTCAGCTAAAAATTCAGTCATTATTTACTCATACTTATGGCATTATAAACCTGTATTTTGAGGTGAATTATTCCTTTAATGGTTTCAATATGAGCTTACTAGATTTGAGACAGCAGAATAATACAGTTTTTTAATCATTTTAAAGATACACATATGGTAAGGAAATCAACGGTGGTTTCCACTGTCGGTTTGGGATGAAAAAGGATGAGTCAGAGAATAATCCTGGAGAAATTGAATTCATCAAGGGACTGGAAAAAACTGGATCTGTGAGTAGAAACCGTCATCTATTGAAGTTCAAAGATGAGTACTACCTGTATACTCACAGATCACTCTTTGATATTCTTTCATGGTGTATTCCCCTTTTTTAGGTGAAGAGAGGCCATGCTGAGATTACTGTTAAAATTTCAGATATCAAACAAAAACTGAATTCAACATTAGATGATTTGGCAGCGACTCGGACCCAATTCTACATTGCTGTCACAGTTACAGATATTTTAAGTAATCAATCATAGAACAAGACATGATTTTTTTTTTTAGTGAAAGTTAAATAAACTTTAAAGACTATGGGCCAGATTTACTCACATTGTGGGCTAGCAAATGTAACATCTCTAGATGTTACAATTTATGTCAATGGTAATCCAATAGATGGGACAATTTATATGGTAATGTATTAAAATGTCAAAATGTCATATTATTTAAAGTTCTGTTACATCTGGTAAAATGATGTATTTTTTTTAAATGCCCTGTTTTTCCAGAAAAAAAAATATCAGAAGTTAAAAAATATCCACCCCTGGGATTTTGAAGCAGATTTTAGCCTACATTACAAAGATGGATGCCGCCGTCGAACATCACTCGTTCGAATCAGCTATCGCGTCTGTTTTAAGCGATTTGAACGTTTCCTTTTTATTAAAAACCGAGCAAAGAACAACACTCGGAGATGTTTCTCCACCGCTCTGCATACGTCATCTCCTTCATCGCTCTGATGGGTTTTAGGTCTATCCGCGACGTCCGTTGGTGACGCCCCTCTGGAAATGATTTGTCTATGACGCTTTGCCAGACCATAACTCAGTTACAACTGAGAATGGTCTGGTTTTAACCAGGCTAGCATTATTTAACTTTCAAAATAAAATATCTCTTTTTTGCACTTGAAATAGCTGTCTGTTGTTTAATTGTCGTACTGTCATTAGAGGACCCACAGAACTTTCCACTCCCATCTGTGCTTTTATTGGATTGTAGTCTTACGCTAATTTGCCCTGTTTAGTAAATCTGGCCCCAACAATGCAAGATTAACTGAACAGACTATTGATTAAACCGAGAAACAAATGTCATTTGTCTGTATGTGCTATGTAATGTTAAGATGCCTAAAGTTCTGGAAATAGTTTAAATTTACAACATTTCTTAGTTGATGTTGACTCACTTGACTTAAAACGACCGTGTACCTCTCATAAGGTGGTGAGGTACAGGAATCAGCAGCTTTCCTTCCCATCGTTTTGAGTCCATACAATGTGGATCTGTCTCGGACAAGATTGTTCTACACTCCTAAATTTCCCTTTCAAGCTGTGGTAAAGAAAACACTTCTATTCATAATACAATGTATAGTATTGATACTGTCAGTCATTGAGGATTGTGCTTGCAGTAATTCATAACTGTAGCTTTCACTTTATAATAGAAACATTTTGCAGATGATTTTGTGTTAGTATACCAGTGGTCCCTGTTTTTCACTAGGTCACAGTCCATCACCCAAATGGTTCCCCGGCTGAAGGCGTTCAAGTGAACTTAGATGTCTCAAGCACCAAAGAACAGTCAATAATTATTAGAACTAATAAAGAGGGAATCGCATTTCACTTTTTCAACTTGGAAGGAACACCATCTTCCATTTCAATGCAGGTTAAACATCCAAAGAATAAAGCTCTTTTAATACCTCTAAGGCCTGTTTCACACTGCTGGCAAAAGCAGTACATTTATTTACTGTTATGCATTTATTATTATGTATTAAATTTGATTATGAAACAAGCCTACTTTAAAAAATACTTTCAGTTATTGCAAAAGTATATAATACAATACAACACTATACTGTATATTTTTGACATATTATTTCAACAGGCAACAGTGGATGGTGTCAAGTTAACAAGAGAAATGCGCCCAGTGAAATCCACAAAGAACAGCTTCCTGTATCTGAGTGTGACTAATAAAGTCATGTCATCAGGGGAGTCTCTAGATGTTACATTTTATGTCAGTGGTAATCCAGTAGATCGGCAAATATATTATATGGTAAGTAATGTTTTAAAATGTCATATATTTAAAGTGAATGATTTTATAAACCTCTGAACTCTTGAGAAATATGTGCATCTGTTCAGATTGTCAGCAGAGGCATGCTAAAAACAGCGAGCTCTGTTGCATCAGGTTCTGCAGTAAAAATATCCATCCGTATCAGCCCAGAGATGATCCCGTCCTTCAGAGTGATCGCCTTTTACTATGACACAGATGACATCATTGCAGACTCAGTGTGGGTGGATGTAGATGACAGGTGTGAGGGAAAAGTAAGCAGACACTAAAATGCTTTTAAAATATTTTTAACAGCTTACAATGTTTTAGTTATCTTATGTCAAAATGATACGATACAGTAAAATATTGCCAAATGTTTACAGTTCTGCTTTCCCACCTCCTGTTTAGCTTGAGATAAAACTGAATGGCAACCATAATTACCAGCCAGAAGATTCAGCTGAGCTTGACATTGATGTGGGAACACAGAATGCAAAAGTGGCCTTACTAGTTGTGGACAAAGCCATTTATGCCCTGGGTTCTCAAAACAAACTCACTCCAAAACAGGTGTGTCGTACTAACTAGCACCTATTGGTTTCTGAAAAATCAGATATAGGCCTACATATAAGATAAACCCAAATTTGTTATTTTTTTGTATCTCATATTCTTGTGTGAAGGTGTTCACCTCAATGCAGTCTTATGATCTGGGGTGTTCATATGGCGGTGGAGAGAACACAGCTGCTGTTTTTAATGACGCTGGTCTGACCTTCATCTCACACTCGACCACAATCCGTTCAATGATGAGAAAAGGTGCTAAATGATGCCACACTCTTCTCTACTTCAATGCTTGAGAAATGGAAAAATAATGGACATTTTCTGTGTTCTGTTTTCAATCTTGGCTTACCATTAAAAAAAGGACAGGTTCTTATTGCCCTTTACATGAAATAGTTGTTACAATATGCAAATTATATTGTCCAAATCATTGTACTTCTAGGTTTCAGCTGTGAGTCTGGTTTTAGGCGCAACAAACGCTCTACAGATATTCAAACAGAAATGGCTAAAAAAGGTATAGTATTGTTACCTGAATATTTGATTACCTTTTGTATCAATTCTTAAAACTAGAGTGAGTTATAGTATTATTTATATACTATATTATAGTATAAATTAATATTTTGAATTAGCTTTCATTTTTATATTTTCAGTTTTCATTTTATTTTTGATGGTATATGTGCTTTTATTTATTTTTAAATATTGTTATTTATCTTTCTTTTATTTCATAAGATTTTTATTTTATCAGTTTTTATTGTTTATTTTCAATTAATTGTTTTAGTAATTTTAGTGTTTCAACTTATTTATTTCATTAGTTGCCAACATTTCTAAATTTAATTTGGGTTTTTTAATTAGCTTTTATTTTAGATGTTTTTCAATAGCCAAAAACAATTTTAAAATATTGTTTTCGTTTCAATTATTTTTAACAATAACAACAATGATGTGAGTCTCATTTTCGTCCATTTCGTACCTTTTATTTCTATATGGGCAAATTAAAGGTTTAATGAAAAATGACTGAGTGCGTCTATATACAATTTATATATATATATATATATATATATATTTTAATTATTGTTGCTATACACAGTGGCATACATGACTAGATATGCTTATGAAGATGTGTAATTACTGTTAACTTCTCCTGCTCATCACTTTTGTCCTGTAGAGGCTGAATTTAAGAAAGCAGAATTGCAGAAATGCTGTCGCCATGGTTTCACCCTGATTCCTATGAAGTTCACTTGTGAGGACAGAGTGAAAAGAGTGAGCAAAACAGAAAGTAAGGAGTGTGTGGATGCCTTCCGAGAGTGCTGTGAGTTTGCAACCAAGCAAAGAGACAAAAAGAGGAGAGAGGACCTGAAGAAAGGGCATGGCAGAAGTGAGTCATAAAAGTGCCATAAGGCTTTTGTAAATTCAGGTGTGCCACAATCTGTGCAATGAAGACATCTGATTTTGTTTCTTACACAAATGATTATATTTTATTTAATTCCCACAGCTGCTGATTCTAATGAAGATGAGGAATTCTTTGATTTTGAAATACAATCAATTCGCCGATATTTCCCTCCAAGCTTTGAGTTTAAGCAGATGGATGTGAAAGGAAAAGTAAAGTGAGTAGGTTCTCGGTCTATAAAGTAGGCATAGGCCTATATAAACGTTACATTTAAACACAAGAGTCTAGGGAAAAATGTGTTCACACATTAAACAATATCATACATTTAAATGTATTACAATATAAAATGTTTCAATTGAATTTTCTTTGAAACAGTTATGATTTACAAAGGTCTTGTATAATGATGTAATTGCACCAGTTCTTTCCTCCAGACACACAATCCATTTACCCCACTCTATCACAACATGGGAGATCCAGGCTCTCAGCTTATCTGCATCCCATGGTAATATTCCAATTTCACTGCTATCAAATTTAATGTCAATCCACCAACGAACTAAACCTTTTATTTTTATTGCTTACAGGTTTGTGTGTGATAGAGCCTGTTGATCTCCTTGTATTTAAGCCAGTGTTTATTTCCTTGAGGCTTCCCTATTCGGTCAAACGCTTTGAACAACTGTCTATAGTTGTGGTGATCTTTAATTATGGAAAGATGAAAAGAGAGGTTTGTTTAAATTAAAGTTTTTTTAGAACACTGAGTGGCACAATTCACTGCACTAACATACCACTTTGGCAATAATGACTGACATACATTTACAGTAGATATATTTTCTAGTGCATAAAATTTATATTTTTTTATTTATCATAAAAAAATACAATTATAAAGTAATTTATTTACTAATTATAAAAGTTTTATTTAATATATGAGACTGTACATTTTTTCTACTTGTCCTTTAAAAATGATTCATTGTTGTAAGTCAGGTTGGTGCAGTCATATTATTATTATTATTTATGAAATAAAACTAAATTTAAATAATCACAACAGTATTTGTTACATTATACACTGTAAAACATTAGAAGATAAATTATTTCTGAGATTAATATATATTGTTATTCACTTTCCTGGTCAGCTTGTTGTTCAAATGAAACAAGTGGATGGTCTTTGTTCACCCGGGTCAGCATCTTCCTCTTCCACTGTCAGAATCAGTCTGGAGCAACAGTCCTCTCAAACTGTGACTTTTCCTGCCGTTCCCATGGCAACAGGCCACATCCCTATCACCATTGGACTTTATGAAGATGATGAAGAAAAAACAAGAGTGGATGCCATTCAAAAGATGCTCTTGGTCAATGTAAGGGGAAGGGGAATTTATCCCATATCTTTTTTTTTCTTTTTCTTTTTTGAACAATTGCACTAAAATCTATCTTTTGTCTTTCTCTTCATGTCTCAGAATGAGGGAGTGGAAATGAGAGAAGAGCAGACTTATTTTATTAATCTGGATGGTGAGATTGTTAGTTATTGTTTGATTGCCCAGATATACACACATGGTGGCTGTGTTTTTTGACAAAGTTTGTGACATGGTAATCTTAACGTGTATAAAAACCTGAACTCTGCTCATCAGGTAGAAGTGACCAGCGCTTGTTTATTGATGGATCTTTCCCAAACAGCACCGTTCCAGAAACGAATGTCAACCTGTTTGTCAAACTAGAAGGTCCAAAGCAAAAAACTAAGCTGTTGTGAATGCTTTCAAATTCTCAATTTCTGATATTGCTTTTTTTTATTATCATTTTTTATTGGTCAAGTCAAACATAATTTTAAATATATAAATATAATATCATTTCAAATTTGTATTTTTTTATTTTTTTGATGCAGAAGAAGGATTTGCCCAGTCCACTGCTGTTCAGTTACTCTCACCATCCAAAGTGGAAAATCTGATCCGGGCACCTTTCGGCTGTGGAGAGCAGACTATGATCTTTATGTCTCCAACTGCTTTGTCAATCCGCTACCTGGACAAAAGTCAAAACTGGCTGGAACTGGAAGCAGGCTCCAGAGACAAAGCATTAGATTTCATTGAGAAAGGTTTACTGTATGCCCAACACAATCTTATGACAATCTGTAACTATTTGACGTTTTAGCGGATTTGTGGCTAATTCATATGAATTCATACAATCTCATTCAAAAATGTTCGTATGATCTGCTTACACCCCAGTGAGTGGTATGTATAGGGGTGGGGTTAGGATGGACCTCCACGCTTACTTTTTCAGAAAGATCGTATTTTTGTTCAACTCTTATCGTACTAATTCACGGTGACGTTCACAGTGACGTTCCATTCCCTGCTAATTCATACAAAATTGGCACTTTTGTAACTTCGTACCATACATACCAACTTTGTAACATTAGGTTTTCCTGTGAGATTAGGTTGTTCTGCCACATAAGATATTTAATGGAATCTGAAAAAAAAGTGAAGGTGAAAAAATAATTACAGAATTTATGTTTTTAAGTGAATTTTCTTCAGTCAGCATCAAATCTCCCTCACAGCCCTGTTTGCATTGGGGTCCTTCATTTCAGAGTCACACTCAGGACCTTCGGGTCCAAATGGGCCGGAAGGGTGGGATTAATATTTATAAAAAAAAAAATCATCATTTTTTTTTTTTACTTGTTTTTTATAATATTTTTTCTTTTCTTTTTTGGTGTTTTGAGATAATTTCAAATATAAAACTGATTTATAATTAATATTAATGCAATAATTATGACCCATTTTTTTCCCCATTGAATATAATAGAAAATGTTTTATTTTTTTATTTTTATTTTTTTAAAGCTGTATTTCATTTTAGAGTCAAGCCTAGGCCTCATGAAAGCAATTTTTGAAATGAGATGGATGCCATCTGGTGGACAAACTGAGCATTTTAAAAATTCAAAACCCATATGTAATCTGAATTTATTAGTGTGTATGTGTATAAAAGTGTGTTTGTGTGTGTGTGTGTGTGTGTGGATGTGTCTGTTTTGCACTCTTGATGTTTTATAGATTCACCCCTTCACTGCTGTGTGCTTTTTTTCTGGATCGTGGCTGATTTGTAGATTGTACACACAAAAAAACTCTGTATTTTCACATTTTTGCCAATTTCCCATTCATTTCCTATGCGGGTCCATTTGGACCCGAAGGTCCTGAGTGTGACTATTTTTTTTACAACCACTTAGACTATTCAAATCCTGTCCCCAATATTTTTGGGTGTTCATATACCAAGTACCAACAAAGTCACCAAATTTCGGACCATTCCGATAAAGCTATGATTTTTAAATAAAAAATATTTAAATGCTTCGGGTCCATTTGGGCCGAAGGACCCCAGAGGGTTAACAAACAAATTAAATATAGCGTCTTTTCTTACTCAGGTCTATTTAACACAGTTTGATTGTATCAGGCTGTACACTGCTCTGACTAAAAGTTTGTGGTGTCACATTTTATTCTGGCAGCTTATGAACGAATTGTAACATTCAAAAAGCCTGATGGATCTTATGGAGCTTGGCTTGACTATCCGACAAGTACATGGTAATTTTGCATTTATATGTCAAAGATATGCAAAGTCATACAAATGTTTTATGCAAATCAGCAGCACTTTCCACATCCCATATCTAGTGTACCCAATAAAATATAGCTTTATTTTTAGATTTTGAATCCCCCAAAAATTATCAGATGGCTTCTCACTTCTCCTAGGTTGACTGCGTTGGTGGTGAAAGTGTTGTCTATAGTGGCTGATCGACAGATCGAAACTCTTCAACAGCGAGGAACAACAGAACGAAGGATTTCACAGGAGGACATCCGCCAAGCAGTCACATATCTGATTGGAACACAGAGCTCAGATGGGTCCTTCACTGATGCTAATCCAGTCATACACAGAGAAATGCAGGTCTGAATGCCTTCCATCATTTGCCAGTAAACCATGGGGTTTTGCAAAAAAGCTTTACCCTGTCAAACAACATGTCAAACATTGCAACATAGTAGCAGGAATTGCATTCCTGTGGTACTGCATTAAATGTGCTGATATTCAATGTTTCTGTGTAGGGAGGTATCGGAGGAGTTGAACAAGATGCCTCTTTAACAGCTTTCATCACGATAGCCCTCAATCATTCCCTCCCTTTCTTGGACAGAGAAAGAACCAATGTGGTAAGAACCATTGATTGTATAATTTACACTGGCCTCAAGAAGTATTTGGACACATAAGCCACAATCTACGGCACCACTAAGAGGATAATGGTGATGGAAAAAAATAAGTTTGAATGTTTTTGCGTTAATCGCTCATAAAAAGTTTGCGCTCCCCTACTCACAAAAGCATTATTTCATCACCAGTTTCGCGTTCACTCGCAAAATGCAAAACTTTCGAAAGCGAACACAAAGTTAACACAAAGAAGAACAAAAATTGTTTACAAGAGAACTTCAAGTGGGGAATGCTAAAGCATATACATATCTTTTTTCCATGTCCCTTTAGGGGCTCTGTAAAAAAAAACTAAAAATGTATTTGCATTATATCACTAAATTTCAAAGCAGGTGGCACTTTATGAAGGAAATATAGCACAGATTTTTTTTTTAATTAAAGCGTTTCACAAAAAAAAACGTCTCGGTTACGGATGTAACCCTCGTTCCCTGAGTAGGGAACGGAGACGTTCCGTCGGATGACGACGAATGGGGTTTCGCTTAGAAAGCCAATCGACTTCGAGTACTTCAAAACGAGCCAATGGCAAAGAAATGCCATGGGTCTGCGGAATTTGCATAGCGTAACTCCGCCTCACCTCGTGGGTATTTAAGGAGAACGCTGGCAGCAAATAGGCATGTTTTCTTCGCTGAGGAGCCAAGACTGAGCTCAGGCGATCCCCGCGGTACAGCGGAAGTGGCAGACAGACGGAACGTCTCCGTTCCCTACTCAGGGAACGAGGGTTACATCCGTAACCGAGACGTTCCCTTTCGTTGTCACTCCGAGTTCCGTCGGATGACGACGAATGGGGATACCAGTCTAATCACGCCACCTTCCCAGCTGTCTTCCAGTGCCCTGCGTAAATCTGAGATCCCTGTCGTGAGACTAGCACGGACGAAGGACTCCTATTTAACACAGGAATACCAAGGTACACTGGGGAGCATATCCCAGATCTTTTAGGGAAGTATGCAATTACTGCCAACCCAGAGGGGGGGACTTAAGAATACACATATGACCCGAGGGATGCATATGGGGAATCACTGGGGTGTCCAGCCGCAGGTGGAATATTTCAACCCCAGGGGTGGCAAGGTGGCTTGCCAAGGGAAAGACACATGCTCAGAGAGGCTTACAGTGGGAATACACATGTGGGGGTAGCTCCGGGAGGTACCATGCACACGGGAGGCACCTAGCCGACGCGCAGGCAAGAGACACTGGCGCCGACGTCAGGAGTGCTGGAGGAACTCAGGGCTTTCGGAGAAGCTCACCTGAGGAGAATATCGCACGTATCCAGTCCGTAGAGTGGAATGGCGAGCAAGCGAAGACACCTGAGCGGGTCCGGTACTAGCTGGTTGAGGCGAGTACATGAGAGGACACAGGCTCCACTCGGAGATTGTAGAATCTGGCGAATGTGTTAGGTGTCGCCCAGCCTGCAGCTCTGCAGATGTCTGTTAGCGAGGCGCCATGCGCTAGAGCCCAAGAGGATGCCACACTCCGGGTGGAGTGGGCAGTCACACCAAGGGGGCACGGTCGACCTTGCTGCTGGTATGCCAAAGCAATGGCGTCCACTATCCAGTGAGACAACCTTTGCTTGGAGAGAGCCTTTCCCTTCAGCTTCCCACCATAACAGACAAAGAGCTGGTCTGAGGTCCTGAAACACTGCGTTCTGTCTACATAGATGCGAAGAGCACGTACTGGACAGAGCAGTGCCAAGGCTGGGTCTGCCTCCTCCTGGGGCAGCGCTTGCAGGTTCACCACCTGGTCCCGAAAGGGAGTGGTAGGAACCTTGGGCACATATCCAAGCCGGGGTCTCAGGATCACGTGAGAGTACGCCGGCCCGAATTCCAGGCACGCTTCGTCAACGGAGAATGCGTGCAGGTCCCCTACCCTCTTAACGGAGGCCAATGCAGTCAGAAGCGCCGTCTTCATAGATAGGAAGTTTAGCTCGACTGACTGCAAAGGCTCAAAGGGAGCACTGCGCAGGGCAGTTAGGACCACTGCGAGGTCCCAAGAGGGTACGAGAGGAGGGCGAGGAGGATTCAGTCTCCTCGCTCCTCTCAGGAACCTGACGATCAGGTCATGCTTCCCCAAAGACTTACCTTCTATAAGGTCATGCTGTGCGGCAATAGCGGCAACATAGACCTTAAGGGTGGAGGGAGACAGCCTTCGCTCCAACCCTTCTTGAAGAAAGGAAAGCACAACACTGATCGAACAACTCCGGGGCTCTTCTCGGCGAGAAGAGCTCCAGCTGACGAAGAGGTTCCACTTCAACGCGTAGAGGTGTCTCGTGGACGACGCTCTGGCGGAAGTGATGGTAGCCGCCACCGCTGGTGGCAGGGTACTCAAACCTGCCTCGTCCCATCCAGGAGCCACACGTGGAGGTTCCAAAGATCGGGACGAGGGTGCCATAGGGTGCCCCGTCCCTGAGAAAGGAGGTCCTTCCTCAGAGGAATTGGCCAAGGAGGTGCTGTCGCGAGGAGTACAAGTTCGGAGAACCAGGTCCGGGTGGGCCAGTACGGCGCTACCAAGGTGACCTGCTCCTCGTCCTCCCTGACCTTGCGCAGGGTCTGCGCAAGGAGGCCCACTGGGGGAAACGCATACTTGCGGCCCCGCGGCCAGCTGTGCGCCAGTGCATCCGTGCCGAGCGTTCCCTCGGTCAGGGAATAATACAGGGCGCAATGGGTCGAGTCGTGAGAGGCAAACAGATCTATCTGTGCGTCCCCGAACTGGTCCCAAATCAGCTGAACCGACTGGGGATGGAGTCGCCAATCTCCCGGGAGGGGCTGAAACCGTGAGAGCTCGTCGGCTGCACAGTTCAGAGCTCCTGGAATATAGATGGCACGAAGCGACCTCAGATGCTTCTGACTCCAAAATAGGAGGTGGCGGGCGAGTTGCGACATACGGCGAGAGCGCAGACCACCTTGACGGTTGATGTACGCTACAGTCGCGGTATTGTCTGATCGGACTAGTACATGCTGGCCCGAGAGCACGGCTCGGAAGCGGCGCAGGGCGAGCTGTACAGCCAGCAACTCGAGGCAATTGATGTGCCATAAGCGGTGGGGTCCTATCCAGGAGCCCGCGGCAGCACGTCCATTGCACATGGCACCCCAGCCCGTGGTGGAGGCATCTGTCGTTACAACAACATGCCGAGAAGCTCGTTCCAGAGGCACTCCTGCCCGTAGAAAACTGAGGTTCCCCCACGGGGTGAAGGTCTGACGGCAGGTCGGAGTAACTGGTACTCGGAGCGTGCCGTGTTGCCATGCCCACCTCGGGACTCGGTCGCGAAGCCAAAGCTGAAGCGGTCTCATATGAAGCAATCCGAGCGGCGTTGCCGCGGCTGCAGATGCCATATGCCCCAGGAGCCTCTGAAAAAGTTTCAGTGGAACCGCACTCTTGCCCTCGAACTGTCTCAGGCAAGTCAGCAGTGACTGCGCGCGCTCGCTCGTAAGCTGCGCGGACATGGCGACCGAGTCGATCTCCATACCGAGAAAAGAGATCCTCTGCGCGGGGCAAAGTTTGCTCTTCTCCCAGTTGACCCGAAGGCCCAAACGGGCTACATGGCGGAGTACCAAGTCCCTGTGTTCGCAAAGCTGATCTCGAGAGTGAGCTAGAATCAGCCAGTCGTCGAGATAGTTCAGAATGCGAACCCCGTGTTCCCGGAGGGGAACAAGGGCTGCCTCGACGACCTTCGTAAAGACGCGAGGGGACAGGGCTAGCCCGAATGGGAGAACTGCGTACTGATATGCCTGACCCTCGAAAGCAAACCGAAGGAACGGTCTGTGTCGAGGGAGAATGGAGACATGAAAGTAGGCGTCCTTCAGGTCGATCGCTGCAAACCAATCCTGGTGCCGCACACATTCGAAAACGCGTTTGGCGGTGAGCATCTTGAACGGCAGCCTGTGAAGGGAGCGGTTCAGAACGCGCAGGTCCAGGATTGGCCGTAACCCACCGGTTTTCTTCGGGACAATGAAATACGGGCTGAGAAGCCGGTCTTCATTTCGGCTGGAGGGACAGTCTCGATCGCACCCTTCGCCAGCAGGGTAGCAACCTCCGCTCTCATGATAGGGGCATTGCCACCGACCAAAGTGGAGCGGACTCCCCTGAAGCGGGGAGGAGACCGCGCGAACTGAATCGCGTAGCCGAGCCTGATCGTTCGTGCGACCCAGCGGGACAGGTTGGGAAGCTCTAGCCAAGCTCCCAAGGACTGAACCAGCGGGGTCATGCGAACCACAGACTTCCCGTCGGTGGGGCAGCGAGGCGGTATGACTGACCCAGACGTGGACGGCATAGCGGCCCGATGTGGGGGTACAGTCATAGACCGCGTCCTGACAGAGCAGACCAGGGAAGGACGAACGTTCCACGGGGGTCTGCTCTGCCAGGGGTCTGGCGACAGAGGGGGATGAGAGCGGCACGGTCCGGGGACGGCGCGCACTGTCATCCGGCTCTGGGACAGAGGAGGACGAGGGGTGCACGGCCCGGGGGCGGCGCACCGTGTCGTCCAAGAACTCTGTGTGCTCAGGGATGAACGTGTTATTTCTTTCTTTAACCACATTAGGGTGCTGCCCACCCGTGGGTGAGCAGCGGGGAGTGGAGAACAAAAGATTCTCCCCCGGCCCTCCACCGGGGGAAGGAGTGGTCCTGCTACCACCTCCTGAGAAAAACACGTCATCCCTGAGCAGCCCGTCTCAGGAGCGCCGCTTGGCCCGGCGTTTAGCGGGGGGCGGGGCTGGAGAGGGCTGGGGCGCCTTCTTGCGACTTCCTCCGCGACCGGGCCCGGATGGAGGCTGCTGCTTGGGCCGGGCGGGAGGGGCGGGAGTCGCAGGAGGGCGCCCTCGGCGGCGAACAGACTGAGTACTCTGCCCGGTCGGCTGGGTGGAGGCAGCAGCGGGCCGTCGGGGCAGAATATGCTTAATCGCCTCAGTCTGTTTCTGCGCAGTCGAGAACTGTTGGGCGAAGTCCTCGACTGCACCGCCGAAAAGGCCATCTTGCGATATGGGGGTGTCGAGCAGCCGGGACCGCTCAGCATCCTTCATATCGGCAAGATTAAGCCAAAGATGTCTCTCCTGGACCACGGCTGTGGACATCACCAAACCCAGGGAGCGTGCGGTCACCTTCGTCGCTCGGAGAGCAAGGTCGGTGGCGGCGCGCAGCTCATTGAAGAGCCCTGGGTCCGTCCTACCCTCGTGCATGTCCCTGAGCATCTGGGCCTGGTAGACCTGCAGAATGGCCATGGCATGCAAAGAGGTGGCTGCCTGTCCCGCAGCTCTGTAGGACTTCGCCACTAATGTAGACGAGTACCTACAGGCTTTGGATGGGTGCTTTGGCTCACCACGAGACGAAGCGCTCTGCGGACACAGTTGCATCGCAACAGAGCGTTCGACCGGGGGAAGCCCAGTGTACCCACGGGCAGCGGCCTCATCGAGGGGAGGAAAGGCGGATGAGATCATCGAGCGGTCACGGGAAGACATGGGAGTCTTCCAGGACTTCGAGATCTCATCATGCACGTCCGGGAAGAAAGGTATCGGGGCCTGACGCGGACGGGGGTCCGCAGCCTGACCCAAATACCAGTCATCCAGCCGCGAGCGCTCGGGACAGGGCGGAGGGTTCCACTCTAACCCGATGCTCGCGGCGGCTCGAGACAGCATGGCCGTCATCTCTGGATCTGACTCTGGCACAACTGTAGTCACACCCGAAGGCGGCAGCTGTGATGAGTCTTCACTTCCAGAAGACTCCGCCCCACCTTGTGATGCTGCAATAGACATGGCATCTTCCTCTGGAGCGCCAAAGGAAACCCGCGGGACACCCGAAGATGATCTCGCCGGAATCCCCTGAACACTCACGGGTTGCAGCATTGGAGAGGGTGCGGCTGGGCACGGACTGATAGTCGGCGCTTGGTTCCAAACCGTCACCCTCAGATCACCCTGGCCACCAGCCGAAGCACTAGCTCTATTTCTAGAGTCAGTAGATCGGGGTGTGGATGAGGGGACCCTCACTCTTGCGAGATCACCGAGTCTTGACCGTAATGCTGCGATGGTCATGTTCCCACAGAGAGAACATGAATCATCCACGAGTGCTGCTCTAGCGTGATCAATGCCCAAACACACTATGCACCACTCGTGCCCATCAGAGTCGTCAACCAGCCTACCGCAACCAGAAGTGCACGGGCGAGGCATCTTTAAAAAGACGTGCCACGTACAAGCTCTTTTGTGAGATTAGAAACCTGATTGTGTTGAAGCGCTCGGGGAGAAACACACTCGCTGTCGAACCACAGACAGATACGCAGGAAGTGCGCGCTCGCCGAAGATCGCCGTCACACCAACACCAGAGAATCTTGCTCGTTTGAAGAACTGACAAATTTCAGGAATGGCTTGTGGAACGAAGGATCACCTTGGCTCCGAAGCGAAAACATGCCTATTTGCTGCCAGCGTTCTCCTTAAATACCCACGAGGTGAGGCGGAGTTACGCTATGCAAATTCCGCAGACCCATGGCATTTCTTTGCCATTGGCTCGTTTTGAAGTACTCGAAGTCGATTGGCTTTCTAAGCGAAACCCCATTCGTCGTCATCCGACGGAACTCGGAGTGACAACGAAAGGGAAAGTTGGTTAGGTTTCAAAATATGAAACAATGTCAAAATAAAGACAAAAAGTCTCAGACACTTTTTAATTTTCACACTTTATAGAATATGTTTATTGTTAATATTACACCAGTGGTTATTCTGCTAGGACACCTAAGAAAACTTGGGGTGAAATTACATGCACGAAAAATCACCTTGATAGCAGTTGTTTAAATTTGCTTTTGGTTGATAAAAAAGCAGTTGCTTTCATATTTTTTATGAAATGCAATGAAATTCAAACATTGTAAAGTGAGACTTAAGTGTCCAATACTTTGTGGGGTAACTGCATTGGAAATGCGTGACTGGCTACATTTCTGCAAAACCTGAAATGTGTTGCTCCTGGAACATTTTGCTGCACTTTTCATGTGTCACACTCACAATAGTCGCGCTGTAAGCAATAAAATGTAAGGTACATTTTTGTACGATCATATTGCATTGCTTGTAGCACATTTCACAGCAGTTTCAATGTTACATGTCCAATGACTAGCGCTAAAAAGTCTGTTCAATTTTCTCAGAAACAGTTAAATGCAACTGTCTACATTTTATTATCTGGTCAATGCACCTATATTGGCAGTTTAAAAATGAAATGTCCATTGTGTGGAGCAAAAAATGTTAGTGCTCTATCGTGTTTGAAATTAACGTACCACCTACAGTGTGAATACAGTGGTCTTACACTATGCCCAAATATGTACTCGTGTTTCACGGGACTCATACCCAAGTGCTCCACATCATAACTGCAAGGCTGTACCAGGTGGGCTACCAAGCATGTTTACTACAAAGCAATAAGCCTATAAACGTCAGAACACATTGCTTTACAAATCATGCACTATGGTAAGTATAGCTATCTATTATGCAAGGAACCGCTAAAAAATGTATCTTTATTACTAATAATTTGCCCCTGTAATCATAATTGGTGTGAAAAGGAGCAATAGTTGTTGGTGTTTTACTGGCTCTAGTGTTCATTTCAGCTGGAAACTGCAGTGAAATGTGTGTAGGTATGTTTTTTTGCAGTTTTGCAGAAATGTTAGAGTTACTTATTTCCTATTAGCTTGGATTGACAGAAAGCCTGTTTGAGACACTGATGAAAGAATACAATGTTTTAATAAATAAAGTAAACCAAATCCTATATTTTAATGCTCACTAGGAGAACAGCATCTCTCGTGCCACCGACTACCTCCTTAAACGGGTTGATGATCTTAAAAGACCTTATGCGCTATCCATTACAGCGTATTGTTTGTCTACCTGCCTAGCTGACCGAACTCAAGCAATTTCAGCATGGAGCAAACTCAGAAGTCTTGCAAAACCAGGTATCATACCAAGTGTTGACTTCTTTATGAAAGTGATCATGACTTTAATCATTCATTTTAGTCATCCATGTATTTCTGCAAATTCTTTTTTCTCACATGTTCAACTGAACCGGCAAGTGGGAGAGTGTCTTGTGTGGCAAGATTATGACAATATGCGACTGGTAAATGAGGCTAAAAGTTACCGTGTGCCCCCTGGAATGGCGTTAACAGTAGAGACCACCGCATACGCTCTCATGACTGCACTAAAACAGAATGACTTAATAACAGCACATGCTGCTGCATGCTACTTGTCTTCACAAGAGAACTATGAAGGAGGTTTCAAATCAACACAGGTGAGCCTAATGATACTGGATGAAACTGTATGTATGTTACTCTAATTCCAAGATTTTCGAAAAAGGAATTATAAAATGAGAACTCTATTTTATACCATTCAAATACACTTTAGGATACTATCATGGCTTTGGAAGCCCTCTCAGAGTATGCACTGAATATACCTGAAACCCCAATCACTACAGTCAATGCACAGTTCACCATTCCAGGAAGGTCTGAGATGGAGAAGCTGCTTTTGGAGAAAAATGAAAATAAAGTGGAAACAGAATTAAAGGTAAACAGTCTGAACCTGTAGCTGACTAATATAGAAAGATCAGCTGTTGCTGCTTAAAAGTTTATGAATCCCATTGGGACAGCTATAAATTATTGTACAATCTTTCATATAAAAGCCCCCATTTCATAATAATATAGACATTTCAAATTGAATGAATGTCAGAATTGTGCACAATGTGGCAAGTTTAAAACATAAATACATTTATTATTTATTATATATATTAGATATGACAGGTGTTACATGTGTGTCCTGAGTTTCCCCCCCGTTCATTGTGTATTTGGTTTAGTCCTGTGTTCGTTTTCCCGCTCCTCGTTTGTGTTCAGTTCCTTCACCTGTGTCTGGTTAATTTGCCCCAGCTGTGCCTTGTTTCCCCTATCTGTTCTCTGTGTATGTAACCCTGTGTTCTCCTTCACTCCTTGTCGGTTCTCGTTTGTGTATGGTGTGTTACTGTCCCCCGTGATCCTTGTTTTGTTATTGAGTAAAGTATATTTGAATTGGACCTGTTGACTGCTGCTTCTCCTTCAACCTGCACCACACCCGTAACAACAGGTTCACTTTATGGGGAATCGTGTGAAATAGTAATATAAGTAATAAGTAATTATTATTATTCTTAATGAAAACTAATAAATGTTGGTTCAATATTGTGGGTAACAGTGTAACAGGGACCCAAAACACTGACATAAATCTAACAAAATGGCTAAGGAGAATGAAAGAATGAATTCAAAGTTCTGTCCTAAATCCAAAATACTGTGGCATGACACACATCTACCTTCAAGAATGGAGGTGTGAATTCAAAAGAGGATATTGAGGAGATAATTTGGCCTGTTGTACTCCAGGTGTCACATTAAGTTCACATGTTCTTATTAACATAGTTTCACTATGACTTACAGTTATCTTAGTTTTCTGTTATTTTTTTCATTCTGATCTGTTAATCATTGTATATTTTTTGTCTTTGCAGAGACTAGTAGGAAGAGGAATAGATGTAAGCCTTTCAGGAGAAGGAAAGGTTAAAGTGAAAGTAAGCAGTTTAAAAAATATCCCCATAGTGTGTATATACTGTATATTTCCCTTTTGAATGGAAATCAATACTGCATCATGGCTTTGATGCTATGGAAATGAATCTCCATGACCGGTGTCTTCAGGAAGTCACTTGTCTGTTTGCATTTGTGTGATATTGTTCATCATATTGTTTGTCTCACTCTGTTTTAGACAGTATAGCCAGCAGAAATGATAAGATTAGAAGCTGAGCATTGCCGTGCTCCCACTTTAGTATGGGGGATGACATGCATGATTTGTCTAATGTGTTTGGGAGCGGAGCACGCTCAGTCAGCCCTCGAAAAGGCTGACTGTCCTCTTTGTGAGTGTTTCAAGATAGAAGAAGCTCCTACGTTTGCATCCATCTTCAGTCACAAGTGAATACTCCATTTGGTTAGTTTGGGCGGTCCCTGCCAGTTTGCAGCTTTAGGGCATCGAAGATGTTTGCGCAAGGGCAAGATGTTTGTGTTGCAGAAGGCTGGTCTAGAGTTCTCAACGGGCCTGAAAATTACAACCCGACCCGACCCGGCCCGTGGCTTTTAAAGCCCGGACCCGATGTAACCCGACACATCAACATGAATTATCTGCCCGAACCCGACCCGCGGCCCGACGCCACCCTTTTGATCGGTGAGTGATGTATGTAGAATGACTGCTGCGCTTGACGCAGAGAGAGAGAGCGAGAGCCCCGGCCGCGCGCGCGCACTCTCACGTCTCACACATTCCGCCCATCCAGCTGACATAAACCACATTTCAATAAACGAAAAAAACTATCCAGTGATTAAATGTTTTCTGTATTGACGCAAATCTTGTGCGATGTCCTAAACTGCCGAAATAATCACACAACGTGTCGCGCCGCCCCTGAGCAACGGTGATTTCACCTGCAGCAAGTTTACTTTTCACCAACTCCATCTTCTTCTCCGGGCTAAAGGCGTGCACGCAGCGGCGTCAGGTCTGCCCTCGCGTCGCGATGCACGTTGCACGCAGCAGCCAGACTTTCTTTACAGTGAACAGCAGCGATGAATAATAAATGTTTTTTTTTTTCTTTCACTGTACAATTCAAAAGATTAAGCCCGAGGTCCGACCCGACCCGAGTCATTTGCAAATATTTTCGACCCGAACCCGGCCCGAACCCGCGGGTCCCGTCGGGTTTGTCGGGCCGACCCGACCCGTTGAGAACTCTAGGCTGGTCCTCTCCGCACACATTCATAAAATTTTAAAGTCTGGACAAGGATTTAACCATGGGATCACAGATCCTTCTGGGTTGATCCAGTAATTCTGTTTCACAGCCTTGATGGGCAGGCATCTTCCCTCAGTGTGGCAGCATTGCTATTGATGTTACCATAGCACCACAATGCAGCGTCTCGTGTATGTGTGTGTGTGTGTGTGTGTGTATATATATATATATATATATATATATATATATGTTTATTATTACTACAGGTCCTTCTCAAAAAATTAGCATATTGTGATAAAGTTCATTATTTTCCATAATGTAATGATAAAAATTTAACTTTCATATATTTTAGATTCATTGCACACCAACTGAAATAGTTCAGGTCTTTTATTGTTTTAATACTGATGATTTTGGCATACAGCTCATGAAAACCCAAAATTCCTGTCTCAAAAAATTAGCATATCCTGAAAAGGGTCTCTAAACGAGCTATTAACCTAATCATCTGAATCAACTAATTAACTCTAAACACCTGCAAAAGATTCCTGAGGCTTTTAAAAACTCCCAGCCTGTTTCATTACTCAAAACCGCAATCATGGGTAAGACTGCCAAACTGACTGCTGTCCAGAAGGCCATCATTGACACCCTCAAGCAAGAGGGTAAGAAAGAAAGACATTTCTGAACAAATAGGCTGTTCCCAGAGTGCTGTATCAAGGCACCTCAGTGGGAAGTCTGTGGGAAGAAAAAAGTGTGGCAAAAAACGCTGCACAACGAGAAGAGGTGACCGGACTCTGAGGAAGATTGTGGAGAAGGACCGATTCCAGACCTTGGGGGACCTGCGGAAGCAGTGGACTGAGTCTGGAGTAGAAACATCCAGAGCCACCATGCACAGGCGTGTGCAAGAAATGGGCTACAGGTGCCGCATTCCCCAGGTCAAGCCACGTTTGAACCAGAAACAGCGGCAGAAGCGCCTGACCTGGGCTACAGAGAAGCAGCACTGGACTGTTGCTCAGTTTTGCATGTCATTCGGAAATCAAGGTGCCAGAGTCTGGAGGAAGACTGGGGAGAAGGAAATGCCAAAATGCCTGAAGTCCAGTGTCAAGTACCCACAGTCAGTGATGGTCTGGGGTGCCATGTCAGCTGCTGGTGTTGGTGCACTGTGTTTTATCAAGGGCAGGGTCAATGCAGCTAGCTATCAGGAGATTTTGGAGCACTTCATGCTTCCATCTGCTGAAAAGCTTTAAGGAGATGAAGATTTCATTTTTCAGCACAACCTGGCACCTGCTCACAGTGCCAAAACCACTGGTAAATGGTTTACTGACCATGGTATTACTGTGCTCAATTGGCCTGCCAGCTCTCCTGACCTGAACCCCATAGAGAATCTGTGGGATATTGTGAAGAGAAAGTTGAGAGACGCAAGACCCAACACTCTGGATGAGCTTAAGGCCGCTATCGAAGCATCCTGGGCCTCCATAACACCTCAGCAGTGCCACAGGCTGATTGCCTCCATGCCACGCCGCATTGAAGCAGTCATTTCTGCAAAAGGATTCCCCACCAAGTATTGACTATTGAGTGCATAACTGAACATAATTATTTGAAGGTTGACTTTTTTTTTTTGTATTAAAAACACTTCTTTTATTGGTCGGATGAAATATGCTAATGTTTTGAGACAGGAATTTTGGGTTTTCATGAGCTGTATGCCAAAATCATCAGTATTAAAACAATAAAAGACCTGAAATATTTCAGTTGGTGTGCAATGAATCTAAAATATATGAAAGTTTAATTTTTATCATTACATTATGCTAAATAATGAACTTTATCACAATATGCAAATTTTTTGAGAAGGACCTGTATACTGTATATGTAATATTTGTAATATTATTTCAAATATTGCTGTAACTTAATAAATGCTGACCCCAAACTTTGAACGGTAGTATATATGTATTGAGGTGTGTGTGGCGAGCAGGAAGAGGTCGAGGGACGTGAGGGAACGACGCAAGGCCAGTGGCGTGATTGATAATAAGTGACACCTGCACGACACACCGGTCTCGTATCTCTCACGGAGGAGCGGAAGCATAAAGGAGAAGCGACGACAGTGAAGTTCGATCAATCACGCCACCGGCCTCGCGTCGTTCTCTCATGTCCCTTGACCTCGTCCTGTTTGCCACATGAGGTAATGAATATATATATTTTGTTTTGCTACTGTAGGTGGTAAAGGCTTATTATGCTCTTAAGGAAGAATCCAACTGCGCTGATTTGTCAATAAATGTGACTGTAGAGGGAAAAGTGGAATACACAAGTGAGTTATGAAATATCCATGGCAAAATTCAGCCCTAATTTAACTATACATAACGTTATTGATATATTAATATATAATTTATGAAGAATATTTGGTATAATATACACATTATCTCACTGTCTAATTATTCTTACAATTGTTTGTATTTGTTTTCAGCTGAAGTACAACAAACTTTCAATTACTATGAGGACTATGAACAGGGAGAAGAGAGGAAGGAGGAGGAAGATCTCCCCCATTCTGGCATTGAGTGGTTTGATGCTCGCAGCAGACAAAGAAGAGACACCACTCAAAGCACGCAAAATGATGTGGTCTATACAGTGTGTGTCAGGTGAGAAAAAAGTATTCTGACAAACATCAATCGTAGCAATCATAATCTGCTGTTTTGAAGGATATTATCATAATCTTGTTATAATCATAAACTAGTATATCATCACCTGTCTTCTCTCACAGGCACACACAGGGGAGGAACCTCTCTGGAATGGCCATTGCTGACATTACTCTACTTAGTGGCTTTGATGCAATCAATACAGATCTGGAAAAGGTCATCTTATCTAATGTCTTATCTAATGACTTTTGAATTTGTCGCATTTTGAAATTATTTTGTTACATTTTTAATTGATTGATTTAATCTATTTTCATGTTTTTTTCCTTTAAAATATTTTATTTCCTTTTTAAATTGTACACTGTTATATTTTAAAATATATATTTAAAAAAATTGTTTATATAGAATTGTATACACTGATGAGCCAAACTATGACCAGTCACAGGTGAAGTGAATTTTGTTGATAATCTAAGAAGACCACATATAGTATTAAGGTCTGGGTAGATTATATGGTAAGCAAACAATCAATTTTCAGGAGCAGGAATAAAGATCTGAGCAACTTTGACTAGGGCCAAATTGTTGTGGCAAGGTGACTGGGTAGAGTATCTGAAGCACAACGAAGCAACGATGAAGGGCACATGAGCGTCAAAACTGAACCTTGGAGCAGTGGAAAAAGGTTGTTTGGTCTGATGATGTTACGTTGGAATAAACAGAGGATTCAGTTGCAAGTGAAACACACATTTATTGACAAGCAATAATGGAAAGTAGTGAAACAGGGTCAGATGTGGATCTGGTGTCAGGAACCATAGGAGCCTTGGCAGCGCAGGGACTGAATGGGCAACCCAGAAGATCCATGCAGGTGAGTGGAGTGAAGGGGAATCCAATCCGCCACAGAACCAGGAAGAAATGACGTTGTGCAATCCTCGGAGAAGACAGGCAGAGCGATCGCAAAACTAAACAACAAATCTTCAGGAGACAGAAGAACCGGCCAGGAGATACCAAACACTCACAGGAACAAACCCAACGACCTGACAAACACAAGACGAATGACAATGAGTATAAATAGACACAGATGATAATCAGCTGAGTGGTAATCAGCAGCCACACCCCCCACACACACACACACACACACAGAGCGAGCCAGTGAATTCATGAACCGTGACAGATGAGTCCCGTTTTATTCTACATCATGTGGACGGCTGTGTACGTGAGCGCCGTTTACATGGGAAAGTGTTGACACCAGGATGCACTGTGTGACGACAACAAGCCGGTGGAGGTATAGTGATGCCCTGGGCAAAGGGTTGCCCAGGGTTTTTATAGTGAAAACCCTGGGTCCGGCCATTCATGTGGACTTAAAATTGATATGTGCCACCTACCTAAATATTGTTGCAGAACTGGTACACCCCTTCATGAAAATGTTGGAAGTGGCCTCTTTCAGCAGGATAATGAACCATGCCACACTGCACACATTGTTCAGGAATGGTTTGAGGAACATGATGAAGAGTTAAAGGTGTTGCCCTGGCCTCCAAAGTCCTAAGATCTCAACCCAGTTGAGCATCTGTGAGATATGCTGGACCAACAAGTTTGATCCACACCGGCTCCACCTCACAACCTACACTACTTGAAGGATCTGGTGCTAATGTCTTGGTGCCAGATACCACAGGACACCTTCAGTGGTCTTGTAGAGTCCATGTGTCAGGAACTCAAAAAATAGGAGGACTCAAATGCTGTGATGAACCTGAGAAAAGTTTATTAGAAAACTTTGAGAATAAAAAAAAATCATATCAATTTTAAAACAAAAACTCTGTGACACAGTGCTCTCCGTAGATTCTCCATAGGGTGGTTCCCATGCGCACTGCCCACACTCAATGGACATGAAGGTAGAGGAGACCACCAACAGGCAGAGAACAACAGGGCGATCCACTAAATGACGAATCCCAGGTCCAGCCAGGGAGATGGCCTTGCTTACAAACCCCTCGTCTTAGGTTCCTGAACACAAACGCCAGCAAGTAAGCAACAGAAGAACATGGGACATGCAAGCGACAAAGCATATGATCAACTGACAACAAGGGGGAGACACAGCTGGGAATATAAAGGGTAAGGGAAACGAGCGACAGATGTAGGGGATCAGCTCATGATTGTGCTCACAGCACTATGAGGCAGCACTGATTGCTCAGACCATGAGCTGCAGAAAATGACAGGACCAAAACAAACAACAGAAAAGAACCAGTGACACCCTGAACCGTGACACCATGCCTCGGCGGGTCAGCACCGTTTTGCCAGCACGCGGAGGACCAACAGCATTTAGGCAGGTGGTCATAATGTATTTGCTCATCAGTGTATGCATATATCTATGAAATTCTATGGCCACATACACACTGCAACAAAATTTGATTGTCAATTCACCTTTTAGTGCTTAATCTTGTTCTGTACACACGCAGTTCAGTAATTTACAACAGTAACAACCACATTCTACAACCGAATTAACTCCCGAAAAACCCAGGTACCGACAACCGCATGTACAAAAATTCTACGCAGTGTGTACAGAACCGAACTGAACAACTAAGTTGTTAATGGTACGGTGGCCGAGACAGCTCAAAGCGCTGCAACTGAAGCAAACACATGCAAATAGAAAAAAACGCGTGCAAATAGAAAAAAACACATGCAAATAGAAAAAAACACATGCAAATAGAAAAAAACGTGTGCAAATAGAAAAAAACACCTGCAAATTAAAAAAAACATCTTGCATCAGTTTCACAACACGTGTGTGCTCCAAATCCAGAAACGCGCTGCAAAAGTTCACAACACAACCAAATACATAAACGCGCTGCAAATAACACAGACCACAACGGAAATGTTTCCAGGGGAACCAAATAAGTGACGAACCCGGCTGGGACGTGCTTACTGCTCGTGAGCGTCTCTGTGCCCTCCCTTCGAAGGGCAGACGGCAGAGCCCTTAAAGTGGGACTTTGGAGTGAGCAGGGCTCTAGTGTGCCATTATAGCCGTGTGGAACGCACTTGATGAAGGAGCAACTAAAGACAACGTAATTCCTCATTATTTACACCTGGGATGTTCCCATGACAACGCAGCACGGCGTCCATCAGCTGAAGAGCTGGTCTTACGACAGAAATATAATGCTGTTAACATAACGGTTGCAAATACATTTGTATTTTTACTTTTTTTTAAATATGCGTTATATATCTGTGTGTCTCAACTTTAAAATTTTGGACCCTACATTACCTAACATTTCTTACGAAACTTTTCTTTATGAAAATGTAAACATAACATGAAATAATTTGTACAGTGTAACTGATGTATAGATAAATATCTTTCCTTCATGTTTATCTTCTTTATCTTTTTTATTTATTTATTTTAGTTTCCAATTCATTGTTCTTTTCTCATTTGTATTCTGATGACATTGCACATAATTATTGTTAATACATTGTGTACATTGTATACACGTTGTATGTCATAAAAAAAATTAATCTCTGTATGTTTTGCACAAATAAATAAATAAAGTAGAATTTTAAGCTGTAAGCACCAGCACGCATAGATTTATGGATATCTATCTATGCCAGCACGTGGCAGTCACTTATTTGGTTCCCCTGGAAACATTTCCGTTGTGGTCCGTGTTATTTGCAGCGCGTTTATGTATTTGTGTTGTGAGCTTTTGCAGCGCGTTTCTGTATTTGGTGGTGTTGTGAGTATTTGGAGCACACGTGTGTTGTGAAACTGATGAAGATGTTTTCTTAATTTGCGGGTGTTTTTTTTATTTGCATGTGTTTTTTTCTATTTGCACACGTTTTTTTCTATTTGTATGTGTTTTCTTCTGTTGCAGCGTGTTGAGCTCTCTCTGCCACCGTATAATGGCGTATTTTAACATGCACCAGACATGTTTCTTTCTTCTTTATGTGCGGTGCAAGAAATCACAGGAAAAACGGTACAAACCTTGACTCATTTGTGTTGCTAGATTTTGCTAGAAACAGCCCACAAGGGAAACAAAGAGCAAAACAAGCCCACAATAAAACAAAATAAATCCAAATGCTTTATGCTGAAAATAAGACCAAAATATTGGGACCTGCACCTGCTGACTTTAATAACTCCGTAAACTTGATCGCTTTATGAGCCAATCTTAAACAACAAGCCTAAAACGCTTATAATAAGTGGACATGGCAACACTGCAAGAGTACACTCTGTGAAGTAGCCTTTCCAAGCATAAGCAAATCATGACGCCTCCATCGACTTTTCTTTAGTTTAGTTCCTGTTTAGTTTAGAGGCCAGAAGTCGCCAGGATGATTTAAGGAAAATGCTCCTAAAATTAATTAACATTTTATTATTAACAATAACTTTGAATAGAACTGAAAAATCATTCAAATAAACACTAAATAAATACTCCATCTGTCACCTGACCCACTTACATGCTGTGTCATTGACGCAGCCATTTAATTGACGAGACTGGTGTCTAGATTTATGCATTTCTATTCAGTCAGAAGCATCTTACATGTTCACAGCCGCTTGTCTATAGCAAGTCCATACTGCTACCATGCTGTGAATAACAATGTAAATTAGCTCAAATTAGGTCAAGGGAAATATGAATAATTAATTATAACTTGTTATAATTGTTATAAAATTGCTCTGAGACACAAAGGTTGAGGATCCAAAAGCAGTATTTATTAAAAGGGTAATCCACAATTGTAATCCACATCCATGCAAAGGTCATACACAAATAAACAATCCAAAAAATGACTGAGATAAGGGCAGAGGTAAACTGGGAAATCCAAAAGGCCAGGCAAAAAAAAAAAAAAAAAAAAGTCGTGGGAAAACGAATCGGTTACCTAACGTAACCTCGGTTCTCTCTAGATGAGGGAACGAGTATTGCGTAAGCTAGCTTACGCTACGGGAAAGATTCATCTTTTCTGAGAAATTATCCTATAATTTTGTATCTATTCACAACGCAGTTCAGCTGCAGCAGAGCATGAGCAGGCTAGCTAGCAGCTCATTGGCTCGCTCACAGGGAACTGCTTAAGCCTATGAGGAGACACGAATGAACTCTCGGCCAATGAGAGTCTGACCTGCTCTCATTGCGTCAGAGCCCGCCGAAACGGGCGTGGCCAGAGAGTTTAAATTCGCCTCTCAGGCTGTAAATTCTGGTTTTCATAGAATGAAGCGAGAACGCTAGTAGCACAAGCACGGCCAGGAACGCAATACTCGTTCCCTC